GTCGTCCCCACCTTCCAGGTCCAGGAGGTCAAAGCTCAGGAGAAAGCTCGTGTCACTCCTCTACGGGATGTTCTAGCTGGGTGGTGGACTAGGCTTCACACTGTCCTTAGTTCTCTCGCTCGACATAGATCCAGGAACAACGGCCAGGATCAACAGCGTCGTCTGGAGCAGGCCGGCTTGCGTTTGTTTGAAGATCGCCCCGATCAAGTTCACACCGCTTTGCGGGAGGGCTTGGAGCCGCCGTGGTCTGAATGGATTCGCTTGCTGTCTGATATCCAGGGTTGCTCGGTCCAGACGTTGTCAGATTTTGCTAAGTTTTCGGATAAGGTCATGAAGCGAGCCCAACGTCGCGCCCTTGCTGAATCTATTCGGGAGTTCAGGGACTGGGCTTTGGAGGGATCTTCTCTTGGAGCTCTTCATCGGACCATGCGTCAAGATCCAGTCCCCGCTCTGGAGATCTTCGAGGGCTCGGAAGTGTTGTATCACCCGAAAGATATAGTCGACTGCAAAGCTCAGCGGTGGCATAAGAAGTGGGCTCCGCCTATTCCCGACCCCCGTGAGGCTCTCGGGCACGTCCTGCAGGTCATTCGAGAGGCCGTTCGGAGGGACCCTGATCCGCTTCCTGAGCTCACCGTTGGAGACTTGAGGCGTGCGCTGCGTGCCATGAAACCCAGAGCTGGCATGGGGGTCGACCGCCTCACACCTTGTGATATGGAAAGGTTGCCAGACGAGGGTCTGGCAGAGCTTGCCGCCTTGTTGAACTCTGTCGAATATTTGCTGGCGTGGCCAGCCCAGACCATGCTCATCATTGGCCGTCTTCTTCCAAAGAAGGTCTCGGGAGATCGGGTGATCGGCCTCATCTCGATGCTGGGGCGGGTCTGGAGTATGAGTCGCGAACCCTGGGTCAGGTCGTGGGCGTCGCGTTCCGAGCCCCACTGGGATGCCGCTGTCCAGGGGAACTCGTCGTTGGCCGAGGCGTTCAGACGGGTGCTCGACGAAGAGGTTGCGGGGGTGTTGGATATTTCTTACGGGCATTCCCTGGTGGACATAGACGGGTACTACGACAATATGTTTTGGCTCAAACTCGCCAATGCAGCCCTTCGTCTAGAGTTTCCTGCCACGGTGCTCTATCTTGAGATATTGCAATGTGCTCATCCTCGTACACTCCATCAGATCGATTCGTATTCACTGGCCTTCGAGCCAGCATGCAGTATTGTGCAGGGGCTTCGTTCGGGTACCCGATTCGCCCGCGCGATGACCTATTTCATCATGGACAAGATGTGTACAGCGAATGTTCGATGTTCCCATCGTCTTTGGATAGACGACATCTCTCAAGCTACGCGGGGTTCTCAGCAGCAAGTCAAGAGGGACCTTGTCAAGTGCGTCGTGGACACGGCCAAGGGCTTGAAGCAGCAAGGCCTCAAACTGGCTGGGAAATCGGTTATCGTTTGTTCTAAGCTGTCGGCGGCTAAGGATATTGTTCGAGCCCTTCGCCTTCGGGGTGTTTTTGTCACTGCTGCTCGTTCTACCTCATACCTGGGCGTCGACCTGGGCGGAGGACGTCGGCACGTCCGCGCTGAGCGCAGCAAGCGGAAGCAGAAGCACTTGGCACGGCACAGAAAGGTAGTCAAGTACGCACGGACGCTGCGCAGGTCACAGCTTACGTCACGACTGGAGCGGCAAGGCGCACAGGCAGCAGGGAGCTACGGGTTCCAAGCCTTCGGAGTCATGGGGCAGGAGTTGGTCAACTATAGGCGCCGTCTTGGGGCTGCTTGTCACCCTAAGACCAAGGGCCGCTGCCTCACGACCCTGTTGGAGCTGGAAGCCCATGGCCAGGACCCCGCTGCTAGGTTCACCTATCTCACCTTCTCTATGTGGCTTCGCCAATGGCGTGCTCATCCAGAGGTTCGAGCGAGCATTCGGCAGGCGTGGCCTAAGTTGCGGGCCAAGCTGGAGGCCCTTCCTCCCAGTCACCGCTCCAGGCATGTCCGTGGTCCAATGGGTGCCGTCATTACACACTTGCTGGACTTTCAGTGGGTACCGAGGTCTCCGACAGCCTGGGACCCCCCTGGGGACACGTGCTGGGAGTTCCCCGACGCCAACTTCTCGGGGGTCGAGTCGATCGACGTAGCTACTTTTTACGACTTCCTGGAAGATGTGAAGATTGCAGCTATGTCAGCTTATTGGCAGCAGGCCGAGCTCCACTTCGACGGCGAGGGTCTCCGTGATGGTACCGACAGTTATTCGTATCGACGGTTACTGGCTCAGCTTTCCCAGGTCCAACCTGCAGGTAAGCGTCTTGCGGCTGTTCTGCTGTCAGTGGCGATCGGTGGTTCTTGGACCAAGGCGCGGAAGGTCGATCAGTATGCGAGCTCGGGAGTTAACCAGACTGCAAGCCGGGCTGATATTTGTGATCGCTGCGGGGAAGAGCGAGAGACTTCGCATCACCGAGCGTGGTTGTGCCGCTGCAACACGGGATCAGCAGCCTACAAGCAGAGTGACTGTCTCGTGGCCAAAGCTGGTGCGCAGCATGAGCAGACGCCGTGTTTCTGGCTGCGAGGACTCATCCCGAGACCGTGGACGACAATGCCAGCCCCCATATATGCTGACGACTGGGAATATGATGGCATCAACGCTTTCGGCCCAAGGTGCTTGCCCGAAGGTTCTGCGCTCCAACCAACGTATGTGTTTGGTGATGCGAGCGGAGGCCCCGACACCGCGGATCCGAGATTGAGGAGGGTCGCCGTGGGCATAGCCGTGGTCAGTGTGTTCCAGCCGCTGGTCGTTGATGCCTATGTTGTTGGCGGATTAGCAGGTACTCGTCAGACGGTAGCGCGCGGTGAGTTGAAGGCCCTCTGGCTGACCGTTTTTGCTTCGAATGGACCAACGGTTTTCACCACGGACTGTAAACCAGTGTGTGATGGATGGAATCAAGCTAAGTATCTTAACCCTTCTGGGGTGGACGCTGACATTTGGGGTCACATCGGTTGTGTCCTACGGGACAAGGATCCAGCTGATATCTCTGTTTTGTTTGTCCACTCACATCTCGGAGGAGAGGCCGTCGTGGACGGCCGTGCGGAGTTGTGGCAGGTTCAGGGCAACACTGCTATTGACGCCATCGTCGGTGCAGCTGCCCTTGAGCTCCGCGTTCCGTCAGAGCATCGGCATCGGCTGCATGAGATTGAACGCCAAGCATACCTTGTGAGGCATCGGCTGCTACGATCGACCCTCGACAGCTACCAGGCGGGCGAGGCTCCGAGGAAGAGTGAGGCTCCTCCTCCTCCTCCTCCCCCTCCTCGTCCTCCGTCTGTCTCAGCGGTGGCCAATTTCACCACCAGCCACTCCTTAGACGATGGGGCTCTCCGTTGTCTGAGGTGTTTTGGAACAGCTACGCAGGCCACAGCTGTCCAGTGGAAGAGTAGCCCATGCAGTTCCCCTGTGTTTCTGAATGGTAAGTATTTAACTAAACCTGCAGGTTTTATACTTCATTTAGCGGGGGGCTGGGTCCACAACAGTCACACTATGATTTTATGTCCCGTTCAGAAGTTGTGGTTTTGTAAGGTGTGCGGCTCCTTCTCCAGTAAGAGAGCCAGTGAGCTTCATAAGCAATGCCGTGGCCGTGCCACACCAACAGGGGTCGAGTATTTGAATCGAATTGACCGTGGTTTATGGCCCAAGGTCCTCAGCAAGGCTGAGCAGGCCACCCGTTTGAGGTCAGGTCGGTCCTCCCCCCAGGTGTAAGGCCCACTTTTCACTTAGTGAACTGACATTCCCATTCCCATTCTCCTCCTCCTCCTGCTCCTCCTCCTCCTCCTCCTGCTCCTCCTCCTCCTCCTCCTCATCCTCCTCCTCCTCCCTCCTCCTCCCCCTCCTCCCTCTCCTCCCTCTCCTCCCGTCTCATCCTCTCCTCCTCCTCCTCCTCCTCCTCCTCTTCCTCCTCTTCCTCCTCCCCCTCCTCCTCCTCCTCCTCCTCATCCGTGTGGGAGTAAGAGCAGGATGATGAGTGGTCAGAGATACGAGATGGTAGAGTAGAGGAGCAAGCAATGTCATACACACAAACTGTTGGATGTCCGCGCGGGTTCCTTGGATCGGCAGTGCCCCCCTCCCTGGCGCGCGGAACGTGCCAGGGACGGCGCAAGAGGCGCCGCCACGGGACCCCAGCGCCGACCAAGGAAATCCGCGCGGACCTCCAACAGTTGATGTGTATGTCCTTGCTTGTTCCCCAGTAAAAGAGGGGAGGGGGGGACGCCGACGATGACGATAGTGGCGACGACGGTGCGGAGAATTACTGGAAGGGGAGGAGTCAACGAGACATGAAATGGATCTGACCAGAGCGGAACAGCAGGAAAGGGTATGACACGAACTGGAGAATGAACGCACCGAGAAAGATGGGGCACAGGGTGGAGTCTGGCCGGCAAGGCGCAAGCGGGCCGCGTCGATGTCAGCGTACATGTCCTTCTCCGAAGGTGTTCCTGCCCTCTCCCCTTGGTCAAACACCAAGGCGTGGGAGGCGAATGCCGGAAAGAGCGAGATACAGCCAACCCGTATAATAAGGATGCACGACAAGGATGCAAAGGCCTTGGAGAGTCATGTGGATGCTTTTCGAACGAGGTTGGCCAGCAAGCGTCGCTAAGGATGGGCCGAAGGGGAAGGACGCGAGGGTAGCCTTGGAAAGTTGCTCATCCTTCATATGCGGGTTGACTGTACGAGTGATGACGGTCTGGTGGGACGAAGTCCACCTGGGAGGGGTTCCAGGGGAAGGGCGAAGCGCGACTGCTCCGGCGTAACACGCGCGCCCGGTCCCAAGACGGCCCTAACCCCAAGACGGCGCAAGAGAGGGCCAACACGGCTCCGAGACGACCCGAGAGCGCTAGACAGCCGAGGAGCGTTCGAAGATGGCCTACGATGGCCTCAAGACGGTCCAGGAGGGCCACAAGACGGCCCAAGAGGCCCTCAAGAGCCCCCCCGAGGGGCCCTGGTCTCGCCTTTCCTCTGGGCAGTTAGCTCCTCTTGTCCCCAGCGTTCGACCTAGCAGGTTGAGTAGGGGCCGAATTTGCCTCGGCGAGCGCTTCGAGCTCCTCTCGAGGGCCGCCTGCGAGCTCACTCAGCTCGCCCTGCTCCGATCCACTCCGAAGCGCACGCCCACGAGTGCCCCGGCGTCGAAGCCGAGCGGGACGCTCGGCGGTCGAAGTGCCGAGAGTGGCGTGCCGCAGCTCCCGCAGGGAAAAGGCGCGCCCGCGCAGGCAGACCGTGGGCAGGCGCCTCCCTGCCGTGGTGGCCGTCGGCTGGGACACACTGTCGGGAGCTTTTGAAGGGGCCCACAAACACACAAATAAGTACACACAAATAAAAAGATTCCCCATATTTTCCCATATTTTCTGGGTTTTTGTCTTCCCCCCCACTTCCCATATTTTCCCATATTTTCTGGAGATCGACGATTAATTGTGTCTGTGTGTTTCTTTTCCTCCTGAGCTTTGGCGTAGCAGTGCGGCTCCGCCGGCTCCTTCGGTAACAAATTCTGGGAGCCTCGTGTGCCCTCGCAGCTGTGCCACTCGAGTGCGTTAGCGTCGACCGGCGTCTGGTAATCGATGAGATGACGCCGATTCAGCGTCGACGTGCGTCGATTTAGTGTCGACGTGCATCGGCTCGCAAGGGCCAACGAAATGATATGGGAAGCTTCTGCGAATTGCCACAGAATGCTCTGGTCCACCGCGCTTTCGCGCGGCACGCTACCCACACGTCGCGGTCCCCAGGCGACAAGGTCCCGAGCTTTTCCGAGCCTCCTGCCCCAAGGAGCGAAGCGACATGCTATCTGCGTCCAAGGCGTAGCCTGTCGCCAGGGCCGCCGCAGCGACACGCTAAGCAGAAATTCCCGACCGCATGCAGTTGCGACGTCGGCCGTTCTCGAAGTGTCCGAGGACAGGAGCGAAGTGTCCGCCCCCACCAAGATGCAGGGACAGTCCCCATCATGATTCACTGATCGACGATCCTCAAAGCGTCTTTCAACACCGATCTTTGGTTGTCCACCGAGGCCCTGCAATACGACGCAGTCCCGACAAGGGCCGACACGCGCGGCGTGCCATCGGTAAAGATGAATAGGGTAAAGCAAACAGTCGGCTGGCACACGTCTTGAAGGTCATCGAACTGAGCATAACAGAGTGAAGAGGCCGAACGGTCATTCATTGTCCCTGGGTGCGTGACTGAATAAGGAATTCGTGGTGAGATCTGTGCTCGTTGCGATATTATTGTTGTTGCTGTTGCTGTTGTTGTTGTTATGGCTGTTGTTGTTGTTGTTGTTGTTGTTGTTGTTGTTGTTGTTGTTGTTGTCGTAGTCGTTGTCGTTGTCGTTGTCGTTGTCGTTGTCGTTGTTGTTGTCGTTGTTTGTCGTGGCTGTCGTTGTCGTTGTCGTTGTCGTTGTCGTTGTCGTTGTCGTTGTCGTCGTTGTTGTTGTTGTTGCTGTTGTTGAATTCTCATTTCTGCAGCATAATTATTGCTGATTCCCCCAACACCGGTACATATTGTTTTCCTCAATGAAAAGGTGACCCTCGACGTTCGCATCCTTTTTTTAAAAGGAAAATCTTGATGTTCAAACTGTGCCCCTGGCCCCCGGGGTTATAACAACAACGGCTCCCGCCTGAGACTTCCTCACAATTTAGCCGGGACCCCCGCTCCCGCCCGAGACCTCCTCGCATTTTATTCAGGAATCGCGTTCTCGTATGGGACTTCCTTACAATAATTCATTCAGGGATCGCTCTCCCGGCGCTCTGGGGTCGCGCTCTCGCTGGAGACTTGCTTGCAATCTACTGAAGAATAGCACCCTTGCGTTGGAATTTCCTGCAATTGGCTCAAGCGCCGCGCCCCCGACACCCAGGCACCCAGGATTCGCGCCCGTTCTGGCCCCATGTGCATGCCCTTCGCGGCCCCGCTGACACCGTTTGTGACCCCCTCACTGCCCTACGTGGCCCAGTTGCTACCCTCAGTGACTCCATCGTTGCCTTCTGTGGCCCCGCATCATCTGCCCTTCGTGGCCCCGCTCGTTCGCGCTCTTCGTGGCCCCATACGCGTTCCCTTCGTGTCCCCGCTGTCGCCTTTGCTGTCGTTCTCTCTCGCTCTCGTTTTCGCTCGTCGTCGCCGCCGTCGTCGTCGTCGCCGTCGTCGTCGACGTCCTCGTCGTCGTCGTGATCGTCGTCGTGGTCGGTCCCCTGTCCGTCCCTCTTGGGGGGTCGGGTCGACGGTCCGCGGCCGCCCCGCCGATCAGTGCTGCCGCTGGCCAGGCCCACGGTCCGCGGCCGCCCCGCCGCTTGCCGGGGTCCGGCCTGCAGGGAAGAAAAATATACCCCCAAAAGGGGATTCGATCGAAAACGAAGAGGGCGGGTATCGAAGGTTTGGGAAATACGCGTTATTGAACACTCGAGCGGATAAGGGCGACCAGTCTTCAAATGATTGTTGTTGTTGTTGTTGCGTTGTTGTTGGTGTTGTTGTTTTTGTTGTTGCTGCTGCTGTTGTTGTTGTTGTTGGTGGTGTTGTTGCTGTTGTTGATGTCTCTATTGTTGTTGTTGTTGCTGTTGTTGTCGTCGTCGTCGTCGTGGTTGTTGTTGTTGTTGTTGTCGGTGTTGTTGTTGTTGAACATTATTACTTCTAAAGAATAATTATTGTTGGGGCCCCTGGTGCACGACCCCCTCGCCGCGCCTAGGCCGCAGCCATGTTTTCATCATTTTCGTGAAGAAGTCTCTGGCAAAACGGGCTGGTCCGGATCCGGTTGTTTTGTTACGGGCGGTTTTCCCTTGCAAAAAATAAGGCACAGTGGACATTGCTTGTTCTAACATAACCAAACTTCAAGAATCCCTTGCAAAAAATAAGGTAAAGTGGACATTCGCGCGCGCAAGACGAAATCCTTCCAAAACCTTAGTGTTCGTAACGATTTTAACATAAAAACAAAAAAAAAAAAAAAAAAAAAAAAAAAAAAAAAAAAAAAAATGGTTTTTCAAAAAAAAAAAAAAGTGTCAAAATTTCATCCCGCGCGCTCTTGCGGATTTGTAGGAAACCCAACACTTTTTTAAACATTTCTGTCAAACGGGCTTTTGCGAGCAACTTTTTCACGTGCTTCGAACTTCTCCAACAACGGTTGCGCAGTACCGGCGTCGTACTGGTTACCGTGGTTTCCTATTCTAGCGTCAGGAACACGTTACCACCAAAAACCAGTACAGGTGTCCAGTGTTGGAACAGGGGGAAAAGTCGTATACTAAGCTAGCGTCCAGAAAATGTTACCACAACAAGTCACTGTACCCATGCGCCAGTGTAGTAGCCACGGTCGTCCGCAGGCCACGAAGTGAAGTGTCCGAACGTCATAGGGCGGGAAGCTGGGTGTGGGTGGTGGCGAAGAGTCGTTTGGAAATGTGGTAGAGCTTGAACCGGCCCCCCCACAAAGTGGGGGTATTGGCGGGCGTCGTATGAAAACCCTGGCACTGGTGAGAACGGAGTGTCCCCACGTGCTAGTAATTATTGTTGTTGTTGTCGTTGTTGTTGTTGTTGTTGTTGTTGTCGTTTGTTGTCGTTTGTTGTCGTCGTCCCACCCGCGACCCACCCGCGACCCACCCCGCGACCCATCCCGCGACCCACCCCGCGACCCACCCCGCGACCCACCCCGCGACCCGACCCGCGACCCACCCGCGACCCAGCTGGCCGTCCTGGGACCCTCTGTGGCCGTCCTGGGGCTCTGTTGCGAGCCTCCGGGGCCGTTTTTGGGCAGCCTCGGAAGCTTTCGGAGCCGTCTTCGACCGATCTGGGCCCGAAAACGCGAGAACCCAAAAGGCGATGGACACCCTAAAGCAAATCCATGTTTTTGGCCTGCCCTCTTGCGGCCTATTGGGTCCTCCGTGGGGCCTCCCATGGCACTCTGGGGCTTTCCTGGGAACCTCCATGGGGCCCTCTTCGGACCCTCCTGAGGCTCTCTGTTGCCGACATGGGGGCCGTCTGGAGGTCCTCTTGGGAACCTCCTCGGCCGTCTTGCGGCAACCGCGGGGGCCCTCGGTACCGTCTTCGGCCGCTCTGGGCCCATTCAAGACGAACGCCAACACAACAATGGCACACCTAAGGGACATCAATTTGTTTTGCCTCCTCGGGCCGCTGGAGGGTCCTCTGGGGAGGCTCGTGGGCCGCCTCGGCGGTCTCTTGGGCAGTCTTTGGGAGCTTGGGCCGTCTTGGGGCCCTCTCGGGGCCATCCTTGGCCCTCGCGGCGGGATCTATCTGTGGCAGCGCGATCCATGACTTGAATTCAAGCACGCCCAAGCGACCATCCTGGAGAATCTGCCGCGGGAGCCAGCACCACCTCTTTTAGCCATCATCATCTTCACGAATTCCTCGCACTTGATCTGGACGTTACCATCGACGTCGGCTTCGCGGATCATCTCGTCGACCTCCTCGTCGGTGAGCTTCTGCCTGAGGCTAGTCATCACGTGGCGAAGCTCCGCGGCGCTAATGAAGCCATTACCGTCGCGGTCGAACACCCTGAAGGCCTCGTTCAGCTCCTCCTCGGTGTCTGTGTCTTTCATCTCGCGTGCCAACAAAGACAAGAGCTCTGGAAAGTCGATCGTTCCATTCCCGTCCGCGCCCGCCTCGTTGATCGCGCCCCGCAGCTCGTCCTCGGCGGGGTTCCGCCCCAGCGAACGCATCGCGGTGCCCAACTCCTTGGCGGCGATGGTGCCGCCCCTGCCTTTGTCGAACCATCATCGCCTCAGTTGGGGCGCCGCCCAGCCAGGGGGCCCGGCGCGACAGCGGCCCGGCAATGACAATTACGGACATGCAGACTGGCGGGCGCGCCGTTGCGGGCCCCAGAAAAGGAAGAGGGAGGAGCACCGTTGCGGGCCCTGCAGGATGATGAGGAGGCACCGTTGCGGGCCCCAGACACAGTAGAAGAAGAAGAACGGCCCGGACGACTAGCGCCCGATCCGGCAGCAACAGCGAGGCCAAGGCACGGGCGCTTCCAGGCGCGGCCGAGCTCGCGCACGTTGACCACGCGGTCACAAAGGAAACACTCCCACCACGCATTCTGCGTGTTGAAGCCGAACACGCGGCAGCCAGAAGCAGCAGACAATCGATTGCGACCCACGGAGCCGGCCCAGAAATGGAGCCGGGTCCTGGCCTGGGGCCGGCCTGCATCATCGAACGCGATGCCTCGACGAGACTGCTTCGCAGGCTGGCCGGCTGCGCGCGACGGACTCGGGCGCGTGAGCGCGCCGACGTCCGTCAGCGTGTAGACGGTGCAGCCCCCTTGGGCAAGTGCAGGTTTAGCGGCAGCGAGCTGGGCGCGGCCCTCCTGGGCGGCGGAGAGCTCGAGGTCGGCTTGCTCCAAAGCGCTCCGGGCGCTGCCGTGCAGGGCCAGACGCTCGCTGAAAGGATCGGCACCACTGGTGCGCCCCTTGACGTCAATCAGAAGAGCTCCGCCCAGGGCAGTCGTGAAAACATCGTCCATCTGATGATTGCTCTTCCGGACTGCAGGGCCCCGGAAGAACGTCAAGCTGGGTGCTCAGGGCACGGATGTGCATCCGCGGCCGCGTGGGCAGGGCGTGCGTGGGCGACTCCTGCGCGCAGCCGAACATCCACCACGAGCGGGCGAAGAAACGGGCAGGCGCCGCGAAGTCCGCGCCGTGCTGCTCCAGTACCTTGATCACCGCCTGCACGAGCATGCCAGTTTCCTTGAGCGTCTGGCTCAGGACGGCGGCTGACGCGCGCGCATCGCGCAGCAACCACTTGCCCGGGCCGATCTTCACAGGGGGGCGCGTCTGCGTTTGGACCTCGTAGAGAATCGCCAACTCCATAATGCACGCGCTGCCGTAGGCATCGCGGGGGGCAGCGTCGCAGCGATCGCGCCACGCGAGAGTTCGCCACCATTTGAAGAAGCGATCGTAGAACAGCCGGCCGCGCACCAACTGCGTGCCAGACACCGCCGAAGGGAGAAAAGCATGCTCGCTACGCCACGGGGTGGCGAAAGCGTGGGCGACGCCCCAGACCAGCGAATGCTGTGGCGGCAGGTCGTCGGATTCGCCGTCGGCGTCAGGGGCCGAGCCGCCGGGGGCGTTGTCGCCCTGGACCGGGTCATCTCCGCTGCGCGCGTCGAGCATGCGGCGTTGCACCGCGAGCTGGAAGCACTGGACACGGCGCGCCAGGGCCGCGACCCGCTACACCTCGGCACGAGCAAAATCACGGGCGCCCTCGTGCGCGGGGCGACCCCGCTTGGCGGCAGCGTCGGCTCCATCGTTCCCGTCCCAGAAGCAGGCGTCCATTACCGTCCGTGCGTCGCTGCGTTCTGTATGGGCCTTGATCTTCATCACCACCACGCGCCTGGCAGGGCGGGCGCGAAGGGCGTCGTCAAACTACAGCCATAAGTAGCCATTAGGCCGAGCGGCGTGGCATCCTGGCAGGCGGCCGCCTGCAGTTGCGACACGGGCGCGGGCCTCGTCGACAACAGACTTGTTGTCGATCCAGACACGGAAGTCATGATCTACAGTGGTAGCCAACATGACCAGAGGAACAAGCCCAGCACGAGTGATGGTTTGAACGTTACCTGGCAGAGGAGAGTACCAACTGTGCCGCCAGAAGAAGCCGTCAGCCTCGTACATGCGGAAAACCACCCTGCTGCCAGCCACGCGCCACCGAGCGTCATCGGCAGGATCGGCGGAGCCGTCGCTGAAGAAATTCATGTGCCCGTCGTCGTCGACATACAAGCGCAGAGCGAGCCAGTCTGGCGGGGCCGTGGGCGCGCAACTCTCGAGGTGCGCCCAAAAAACTCGCTCCGAATCAGTAGTCTCAACAATGCCAAACGTGGCGAGGGCATCGTCAACCTGAGCTGGGTCTGCAATCTCTGGGATGTCCGCCCTCTCCACGCTGTGCAAACCGCATCGTCAATACCAGTGGGAAAGGGTTTCAACCTCGGCACCACAAGGACACACGGCATCAACCTCGTCACCTGCGATCTTCGCGAAGTCCTTCTGCGTGTAGACGAGCCCGGTGAGGCACGCAAAAAACGTCCCGGCAGCAAGGTCCCCAAGATCACGGCTGTAGTCCAACGTGGTGGCCACGTCGATGCGCCCCCAAGTTGGCCAGCTCTGGGCGGGCAGCAGCGGCGCGTCGGGATGCGTAGTCCGCGGTGGCCTCGGCGATGAGGCACTCGACCTCCTGGCGGCAGCAGGCCAGCAGATGGCCGCGCGCCCGGCCAGAGGGGTTCCGCCAGGCGCCACCCCTCCCCCAGAGTCCAGCCTGCGTTCGACCAAGTTTCCCAGGAGCTGGATTGGCAGAGGGTCGGGAAGCGATTGGGCAGCAACGCGCACAGTCAGGATCCTTGCGGCTTTGTCTGCCGCGCCTTGGCCGGACCCGGAGAGAAAACTCCGCAAGCCCAGCGTGCGGCGGCAAAGAAGGATACCGAAAATCGGAGTCTTGGTGAAACTTTTGACGCCACCCCAAACAAGCAGGTAAGATCAGGAATGCGCTTCGTCGTCTTGCCCTTGCGGGGCTTCAACACAGCAGAAACGCAGGACTTGAGAGCGTACACAGTAGTATGCTTGGAAACGTGTGACGCCTCAGCACCCCAGACAGCAGGCTGCAAGGCCCCAGGGGCGATGATGGCAACCTTTTTGGCCCGCGGAATGGACGACATCCCTAAACGATGCAAGAAATCTTTAGCCTTGTGGGCTCGTTCAACCATCGTCGGCGCCGCGCGGGCATGGCCGTGTAATTTAAATGAGCACCAAGTTCACGCGCGTGGCTCTTGTGAGGGACCACGGTGCCATTGGCGGCCGTGTACTGGGCGTCCTTCCGCGCAGTCTTGCCAGCAGCCCCAGGGCCACGGGACCAGGTCCATCAGGCACTTGGTTTAAGCTGCATGTCCCATTAGGTGCAAAAGCGTTCAAGACAAGAGAAAGCCACGGGGACTTCCGAAGCGGTGCGGCTGAACCAGTGGAAGTGGTCAGCCCAATTCATTAGCGAGGCACTCACGCCTTCCACATGAGCCATAACATGGAATACGTAAGTCACAAATACAGAAGCGATGACCGAGAGGGCGTCGCCTTGGGGAAAACCGGTGGTAGTGCACCTGCCGACCCCGATGCCGTTACACACGCGAAAGAAACGGATTGTGGAACGGAGGTGGTCCATCCACGCATGAACAAAACCAGCGGGGACACCAAGCTGGATGCACAAGTAATTGACCAAGGCCCCCGTCTTTGTCGAACAGTGCGAATGCCTCCTTGAGCTCGGCGATCTGCTCCTCGGTCAGCTGGCCCGCCATTGCAAGACAGGCGGCGGTTCGAGCGTCGGCTTGCGGGAGTCTCGGGGCCAAACGGGCCTCGGATAGGAGTGGCTTGAGGCAAAATGGTTACGGACCCTGATGGTCCGCTACCGAAAATTTCCGGTAGCGCTCCGCAGAGACCGGTCGCTACCGAAATACCGAAATGTAGCGCCCAATACCGGTATCAGACCGTTCTTAAATCCGCTATTTCAACGCCCTCAAACGAAGATCCGGTCGCTACCGAAATTCGGGGTGCGTCGAAATCGCTACCGAAAATTTCCGGTACCAGACCATCTGGGGACCCTCTGGGCGCTCTCTTGGGGCCCTCTGGGGTTCCTCTGGGCCTCTCTTGGAGCCCTCCCCGAGCGTCTGACCACCTGCGTGGAGACGCCAGACTCCGTGCTCAGGTGATCACTGCAAAAAAAATCGGGGGCGGAAGCCTCGAAGAAGACCTGAACCTCCTGGCCATTCCTCGGCGTCCGAGGGAGCCTCTCGGGCAGTTTGGCGCCCGGGGGTAATCCGATCCAAGGGGCAACGTCAAAAAGGAGCGCTGTTCATCAATTAGAAAGACATGGGGCTGCACTGCGGTGCAAAGCCAGGCTACTCTCGCGCACTCTGCGTGGGCACTCGACTTGTGACCCCCCAGCAGGGTCTGTTCCCCCCCGCAGCACAGGCAAACAAATGAGTAAGGATGCAAGATAAGGATGCGAGGACCCTCGGATGTCCATGTTGCAACGGACGTGGCGGCAGGCCACAGCGCAAGATGCAGGGACAGTCCCCGTCCTGAACCACTGATCGACGATCCTCAAAGCGTCTTTCAGCACCAACCTTTGGTTGTCCACCGAAGCCCTCCTATACGACGCAGTCTCAACGAGGGCGTGCCATCAGTGAAGCTGAATATAATAAAGCACACAGTCGGCTGACACACGTTTCGAAGGTCATCAAACTGAATAAATCAGAGTGAGGGGGCCGAACGGTCATTCATTATCCGTGGGTGCGTGGCTGAATAAGGAATTCGTGGTGAGAATTCTGCTTGTTGCGTTGTTATTGTTGTTACTGTTGTTGCTGTTGTCGTTGGTGTTGCTTGTTGTCGTCTTCCCACCCGCGACCCACCCGCGACCCGACCCACCCCGCGACCCACTCCAAGACCCACCCGCGACCCAGTCCGCGACCCACCCCGCGACCCACCCGCGACCCACCCCGCGACCCACCCGCGACCCACCCGCGACCCACCCGCGACCCACCCCGCGACCCACCCGCGACCCACCCGCGACCCCGCGACCCACCCGCGACCCACCCCGCGACCCATCCGCGACCCACCCCGCGACCCACCCGCGACCCACCCCGCGACCCACCCGCGACCCATCCCGCGACCCACCCTCAAGAGAGGAAAAAACATCCGGACCCGACAATTGACTTTTACCAAAACGGCCCTGGGCGTTGACTAAACATCCCTGCCCTGTTCGATTCATTCTTCATTCCTTGCGTGCGTTTACTAAATGGCTTCGCTTGTCGGGGTGATTATTATGGGGTGGATTCTCTGCCCTCCACACCCGCGACCCACCCGCGACCCACCCGCGACCCACCCGCGACCTACCCGCAGTGGTTACCCACCCGCGACCTACCCACACTGGTTGAACGACAAAATCTGCGCCTGCGGAGGGCTCGTTGCATAATTTGTGAAACGTTGGCGCCTGCGGCGGGCTTCTCCAGAGTCTCGCAAACTGCCGACGTCCCCACCGCCACCTCACTCTTATCCGCATCTGCGGGGTGCTACGTGTATACATGTGTATATACATATATATATATAAACAATATATATATATACACATACATGTGTATATATATATATATATATATATATATATATATAGATATCTGCTGCGTTTGACCGACACGGCACCCGTCATCTCGTCGTGGCTCGTCCTGGCTGGTGCCTCCTATGCCAAGCATGCGCTGCCTGAGCCCCGGGCCCGCCACTGCTCAAGCCGTACCCGGTGTAGTCATAAACCAGCACGTTGACTCGGAGTTCCCTCCCCTCCACGAGGCTGCGAAAAGGGCGCAGCGGGAGGCTCGACGATTGCTTCAGGGTGGGATTTGGGTTGGGCATGTTGAAACTTCCCTCTATCTGGGTCCCTGCGAAACCTGGCGCGTGTGACATCCATGTTGGTAGCATTCAAACGACACCACACAACGACGACGACAACCATGACAACGACGACGACCACGACGATGACGGCGACGACGACGACCACGACGACGACCACGACGACGACGGCGACGACAACCACGACCACGACCACGACGGCGGCGGCGGCGGCGGACGCGGCGGCGGCGACGGCGGCGGCGACGGCGACGGCGGCGATGGCGACGGCGACGGCGACAGCGCCGCCGCAGACGGCCGCGCCCCCCCCCCCCCCCCCCCCAAAACGGCCCCCCGAGGCGGGCCGACAGAGCTCCAGGCAGGGCACGAAGGAGCTACCTGGCCCGCCCGCCCGGGGCAGCGCACGGGGGGGGGGGGAGGCTCGGGCAGCAGCGCCACGGAAGGGGGGGGCCGCGAGAAGGCACGGGGCGCTCGGGGGCCCCGAGGGCGCGGAGGCGAAAGGGCGGGCGCTGGGCGTCGCTGCGCGGGGGGGGGCGATTCATGGAGGGGCGGGGGGGGAAAAGGGTGCACCCTTCCCTTCGGGCCCTGGAGGCCCCCCTTTGGGGGTCCCACAGGGCCCCTCTCAGGGGTTCGCTTCCCCCCCCCTTCCTCCGCCCCCCCCCCCCCCTCCCATCACGCGACGCCCCAGGGCGAAAGCGGAAGGCCGGGTCCGGGGGGCGAGGAGGGCAGGAGGCGAGGGAGAGCGGGGGAGGGCGGGGGAGCGGAAATCCGAAAGCGGAAACAGGGGAACGCGGCCGTCAGCCCGAGAAAGCGCGCGGGCTTCTGGAAACTCATGGGGGCGGGTTGCTGGAAACCCGGGCGTTCCTAGAAACTCTGGGGCGAGAGGCAACGCGGGGGGATGGCCGGGGTGCGAGGGGGCGAAGGCGCGAGGAAGGCGACGGTGACCACGAACAGGGGGCGGAGCGTTTCGTCAAGCAGTTCGCAGTGCCGTCAAACATCCCAGACGGTTGCGGAAGGGTCGAGGGGGGGAGTCCTCGGATCTCCTTCCTCTCTTCCTCGCTCCCGTCATTGTTTCCTTCCCTGCTTTTCCCTTTCCTCTTGGATCTGAGCTGCCCCGATACGCAACACGCAACATGTTGCGTATTTATACGGAGCTCAACACGTGGACTGAACATGTAGGTCTGACGCGATCGAACGAACGAACGAACGCCAGATCCGTGCGCACGCCGCGCGGGCGCCCGCACGCGCCCGTTTGGGCGTGGCGATGGAGGCCATAGCCTCGAAGCGGGAATCACATCTGGTGTATCTGGAGAGAACATCAATGCGATATATTTTTATATACGTATATATATATACATATGTATATATATATATATATATATGAACGGAGGGAGGGAGGGATCCTTGATGTTGGTGTCGGCGCGAAGCTCGGTATGCTTGTGTGTGTGTCTGTGTGGCAGGGCTATGGGGAGAGGGGGGGAGGGAGGGAGGGGAAAGTCCTTGACGTCGATGTCGGCGTGGTGCTCCGAGGTTATACCACGTGGTGGTGTCTTGGGCCGTTCGAACCCACGTGAAGTCGTTGGGCTGCCCCGTGTCGCGCGTTGGAGCCGGGCCTGGGTGAAGGTCTGGCCTGTGCCGTCGTAGGTGTGCATGAACTTCGTCGTCCTAGCGCTTGTGCTGGCGCCCGTGTTGTCGATGTGCGTCAGGCTGCCAGTGCAAAGCCCTCCATGTCCACCTGGTGGGCGCGTGGTTGGCCACTGTCGCTGCCATTATCCATACCTTCTTTCTGCGTGTCGTCACCCAACTGTCTGATCTGCACCGCGCGTCGCGTGGCACGTTGAATGTATTGGACCCAAGGCTCACTGAGGTCCGCGTCGTTGCCGTCTTTGGTGCCATCACTGCTACGAGCTGGTGTCGATGCTGTGTTGTGTTGCGGCAGGTTGCTGTCTGCGTCGTCGCTCGGGCTGTCCTCGTGGGAGTCGTCGTGGGAGTCATTGTTGTCCTGTGCGTCTTCGTCCATGCCATCAATGCCCGTCGCGCCTTGGATGTCGCCGCTGTTCGCCAGGGGGGCGCCCCATCGTCGAGGCGTCCTGATAATCATGCGAAAGATGCGTCGCTGTGTCCGCTGGAAGTGCTGCCGAAATGTTCCGTGAGTGTCCACACTTCTGTTCCGTGCAGTGCTGTCGGTGTCACTGTGCTGTTGAAAAGCCTGGGTGGGTGCGCAAGTGAGTACTGTTTACTCGTCAGCTCTTGTTTGTGGGAAGTAAACGATACCCATGCAGCGGCCCATGCAGCTCTTGTGCGATGGTGGACTTCTGTCTCCATGGGGCTGTGGAAGCTGATCAGCTGGCCGAGATATTTGAGACTGCCCTCGTAAGGAAGAATCTCGATGTCCATGTCCTGGACGCGTGCTGTGCGCGAGCTCGCCCTGCCTGTCCTTCTCGTGAGGTTGCTCATGATTTTCGTTTTGTCTGGGTGTAGCTCGAGCCCGTGGGGGCGCGCTGCGCTGGCAATGTCGTCGAGCATGGTGGTGAGGCGCGGGAGGGTTTGGCTCGTCAGGAGCGCGTCGTCGGCGAACCTCAAATTAGTGAGCGTTGAAATTGTCGTGAATCCTAGCCGTACTCCTTTGCGTTTCTTCTGCCAGTCAGCGATCAGTGGTGCAATGATGTGCTGCAGAAGGGACTTGAAAAGCAAGGAGCTGAGTGGGTCGCCTTGCTTGGTGCCCCGCACAAGACTGAACGGCCTGCTTGCGACATGAGTCTTCACCGTGGCCGTTTGTCCTGTGTGCAGCTGCTTGGGTAGTGAAATGTACCCTTCTGGTACATCCTGCGCTTTAGTGCTGACCATGTACTTTTGTGCTCAACTGTGTCAAAGGCTTTTGTGAAGCCGAGCGCTGCGACACACAAATTCTAGTTCCACTCGTGCGCACGCTCACGGATCATGAGAAACGTAAACTGGTGGTCGGTAGTTGGATGTCCCGGTCTGAACCCGGCCTGGTCAGCAGTCTGTCGAGAGTCCAGGGTTGGTTGGAGCCGGTTGTAGAGCAGAAGACTAAATAGTTTGTACAATATCGGTATCGTGCAGATCGGTCGGTAATTCTAAGCGAGACCTCCACTTTTTCGAATGACTGTGATGACGGTGCTCCTCCAGCTAGCCGGCGGTGGGGCTTTGAGCTGGATGACGGTGTTGTAGAGATGGAGCAATGCACATTTGAGCTCCGCTGCGCCTTCTTTCAGCATCTCTGCACGGAGGCCCTTGGTGTCGGGGGCCTTACCAACTCGGAGTCCTCTGATTGCTTAGCGGAGCTCAATGATGGCGAAAGGTTGGATCTCGTCACAAGGCCCCTCTTGCAGTGTCGGCGCTGCTTCTGGTGGTGCTGCTGCTCGGTCTGGGTCGGCGGTGGGTGCTGGTGGGTCCTGCTGGACGGTCTGGGTCGGCGCTGCTTGCGGTGCTGGTCGGCGGTCGTCGGTGGCTGCTGCTGGGTGCTGCTGGTAGGTTGGAGTCGGCGTTGCTTGTGGCGGTGCTGGTCGGTGGTGGTCGTTGGTGGGTGCTGGTGGGTGGTGCTGGTCGGCTGGGGCCGGCGCTGCTCGTGGTGCTTGTCGGTGGTAGGCGGCGGTCGTCGGTGGGTGCTGCTGGTCGGTCTGGGTCGAAGTCGCTCGTGGTGTTGTTGACCGGTGGTGGTCGGCGGTGGGTGCTGGTGGGTGCTGTTGGTCGGTTACGGTCGGTGCTGCTTGTGGTGCTGGTCGGCGGTCGTGGGTGGTCGTTGGTGGGTCGGTGTTGGTCGGTGGTGGTGTTGCTGGTCGGCGGCGTTGCTGGTCGTGGTGCTGTTTGTCGGCGGTGGTACTGGTTGTCGCGGCTTGTGGTGCTGCTGGTCGGCGGCGGTCGGTGGTGGGTGCTGCTGGTCGGTCTGGGTCGGTGCTGCTTGCGGTGCCGGTCGGTGGCGGTCGGTAGTCGCCGGTGGGTGCTGCTGGTCGATTGGGGTCGGTGCTGTTTGTGGTGCTGCTGGTCGGCGGTGGTCGGTGGCGAGTCCCTCTTGCCGCGTCGATTCCGCCGTCGAGCTGTAAAGTTGTTCATGTAATTCTGCAAACACGTCTGCTATTTCCTGCCTCGTCGTGCGTTTGGATCCCTCCTTGTCTGTCATGTGTGTGATGAGAGTCCGCTTCCTCCTGGTCTTGATGCGATTCTCTTCAAATGTCTGAACTGCTCGAGAGCACCTCCAATATGTGCACGTCGTTTACTCCGCTTTTGTGTGCGGATTTGTTGCTGTATGAGTTTGGTTAACTGCTTTCTGGCGTCGTGGTCGCCGCTTGGAGTCTGCCGCTGTTGTGCTATTAGCGCGTGTCGTCGTTGTGCCTCTTTGTTGGTTTGCTTGTCGGTCTGTTGGTCGGCCGTCGGTCTGCTGGTCGGTCATCGCTCGCGTGGTGGTTCGTCGTGTCGTTCTGCCGTTTGCTGGTTTGCTTGTCGTTATGTTGCGTCTTGTTGCTGTTTTGGCTGGGTGCTCTGCACTGCGTTGTGACCCCCGCCCTCGTGATGGCATGCCCCCGCGTTGCTGGCAATGACGGCGTCGACAATGACTCGTTGGATGTGTTCGCAGAGTGCTTCCAGGTCGGGTGGCAAGTCGTCTGGGCGTAGTCTTGGCCGCAAGTTGTCTAGGTAGGCGCTTCTGTCGTTGAGCGCGGTGGCCAGAGATGTGGACTTCAAACAGTTACGCTGATGATGTGCATCGTCGTCGTGCCGGGGCCGCCTTGCTATCATACACGTTGGTATCCGCAGGTCGGACAGCCTTGTGGTCGGATCCCAGGTCACTTCTACTGTTGGCCTCGGCGTTCGTGCAGTGTCGGAAAAGCGTGCGATTCAGGAGTACGTAGTCGAGCTGCTTGTGATTTGCGCAGGATCTGTATGTGATTTGCTTAGCGTTTGGTTTGCGAAATAATGTATTCGCAATGGTAAGCCCTCTTGGGCAGCCCAATACTTAAGCCAGGTACCCCTTGAGTTCTCGTTACCGTATCCATGTCTGCCAACGTATCTCGACGTGAGGTGGTCCAATACGTTGAGCCAAAACGTGGTCCAATAAGTAGGTCTGACAAGATGCGTTCGTCAAAACGTGGTCAAATACGTTGAGCCAACACGTGGCGTATTGACACGGACATTTGGAGCACGGCACGTGCTGAGAATCAAGACGGGCGTATCGAGGCAGCTACGTCCTGGATGTGTTTTTTCGATCTAACGTCGCTGCTCCCTGTCGCACCCCGACGCGTGCCGACAGGGCGGGCCCCAGGCGTGTCGTTTGAGATCTCCGCACACCACGTGTGATTCTGAAGCCGGAAGTCTGCGTTGCACTGATGCAGGCGAGGGGGTCGAAGTGTTCGTTGCCTCACAGACGTGCTGCAGCGGATTTCTGCGTGGGTTCTTGCCCGAAGCGGCGAGCGAAAAGCGGAGTGATCGTCGCGTGGGTTCTTTCTGGTCTCCATCCCAGGCCCCCAAAACAAACGCACGATATTCACCTCGAAATCTGGAGCAAGAGTCCCCAGGACAAGCCGGGCCCACCCTATCGTTTTCCAAGCGAAATCCGCTCTGCTATGTTGGCGCCATGAAAATGTGGCTCTCGCCTGAGCGCCGCGCAAATTCGTCTTGAAAGGTGGCAGCAACTACAAGGGCGGAGGAGCCGTTTTCGTAGCGCTGCGCGCATCCTTGCTTTTAGTGTTTTGCCGCAGCTACAGGGGATGAAGGCGAATCGTCTTGTCTTAACAGCTCATGACAAGTTCAAGGGTGTAGCGCGATTGGTTTTCAAAATGGCGCTTTAGCCCTAGCGCCACGCGCATTCGTCATATAAGCTTGCAGTATTTACAAGGATGCAGGACGGTTCCTTTTCAAACGTTAGCTCGTGCATGAGACTTGTTCAGATGACAGAGCAGGAGGTTGAAAATGTGCAACATATGCGCAGATGGAGGGCCTCTCTTTTTCAAAGTGGGGCCATTGATGTACGATGCTGCTGCGCGCGCATGCCGACGCAATTGGCGCGTGGGCTTGAGCCGATCAGAACAACTGCCGCAATTCCGCCTCTTGCTTGCACCCCCCCCTGCATTTTTGGTATACTGCGCGGTGGCCGACCATCCCTCGGGCCGGGTCAACCCGCATTGCCCACCGCGCCGCACTGGGGCAATGGAGCCCACATGAACGCAAGTCCATAGCTCTTCGCCCAGCCCGCGCTGGCAGCCTCCGCGGCGCAGCACAGCCGCAAAGCCCAACCGACTGGGACCGTCAGCCAGCTTCGACGCGCCCGCGACCCTTTCAGAAGGCAAGCTGCAGCCCGTCGCCGCGGCGTCCTTCCCCAGGCCGTCGTCGACAGAGGACAGCGCGTCGCGGTGTCCGCGAGCACGCCCTGCCACAGCCGCAGGGACAGTGCCATCGGCGCGAGCTCCGCCTGGCCAAAGACCTGCCGGTGCCCGACTCTCCGCCCCCGAGGGGCGCGCCACGTCCGTCTCCCGGCTCCGAAGAACTCCAACGCGCCGCCGACGGGGTCGGCCATCGCGCCTCCGACAGGTGGCGCTGCCCTCAGTGGCGCCACCCGGCAGATGCCCTGCAATGCGCGAGGCTCCGCGGTGCAGCCAGACGCGGAAGCCCCACGCCCGCCAGATGTCTGGGACCTGGCGAGCTGCGCGCGGCCTCGAGGATGCCGGGCCTCTGCCGGCGAAGCCTAAAAGGGCAAAGAAGTACATAAACTTGTAAGCTTTCTGAGGTCCGCTGGACCCCGGATTCAAACGCCAAGTATAGCACCCCGCAATTGCGGATGAGAGTGAGGGAGCGTGCGTGAGGTGGGTCGCGGGCGGGTCGCGGGCAGGTCGCGGATGGGTCGAGGGTGGGTCGCGGGTCGCCTCGCGGGGGGGTCGCGGGTGGGTCCTGGGCGGGTCGCGGGCGCGTCGCGGGCGGGACGACAACAATAACAACGCAACGCAACGCAACAACAATCCGCACCACGGAACCCCACTTGAGCCACGCACCCAGGTGCAGTGAATGACCGTTCGGCCCCCTCACTCTGATAAACATAAACATCAATCTGCGGATGTCTTGGATGGTCGCTGGATCCCCCTCCCTGGAGCGCGGAGCGCGCCGGGAGCGGCGCTGGAGGAGCCGCAGGGTCCCCAATGCCAATCCGAGAAACCGGCGCGGCGCTCCAAAACTATCTGCCGACGAAGCCGACCCCCGCCTCCAGAACTTGAGCAGGGACCGACCGTCCCGGCATTCCTATAAGCCTACCGCGACGTCTTCTTAGAGCCCCCAAATGTTCTCAGAACCAAAACGAGGCTCTCAGAGCAGAAGCCTGGCGTGTTGAACAGGACAACCTCGGCCGGAGCTGTTCTTAGAACATGTCGCGCAGACCACAAAAGGTTGTTGGAACAGTGCTCGGTAGGCCTATGGGCGAGCCAGGACGCTTCGCCACTGCTTGAAGCACGCCCCGGATGGCTTCGGCATCGGCCTGCCCACCGTCGGCCCGGCTGGAGAGGCGGCGACCATGCCCGAACGCGCGCGGCGTCCGAGAGGTCCACACGTCCACGCAAAAGAGAGCGCCCGAAGACCCGGGCGCGGGACGACGCTGCGGGGCTCCTTCGCCTGGGTACCCGAGGAGCACGAGCTGAAGGGGCCCAGGGGCACACGAACAAACACACACACACACACACACACACACACACACACACACCAATCCCAGGATCCCCCACAGTTTCTAACATTTTATCTGGGTCTTCGTCTCCTCCCCCCCCCCCTTCCCATATCTGCCTATACTTTCTGGGACATGGACGATTTTCGTTGTGTCTGTGTGCTCTTCCCCTCCTGAGACAAGCAGGAGGGCCGCCTGGGCCGCCGGGTTGGCGGGCTGCGCAGCCTGGCTCCGCCTGGGCTCGTCGGCGCGCGGGCTCGGAGAGAGCCCCGGCTGCCTGCAGCCGGGCGAAACAAACGTCCTGGCCAGTGCGCTCGGCGCGGCACGTCTGCCGGCTCTTGCTGCGGCCACGCGGTGGCGACCTGCGTTTTCGCTGCCTCCCTTTCCTCCTCCTCCTCCTCCTCCTCCTCCTCCTCCTCCTCCTCCTCCTCCTCCTCCTCCCTTTCCTCCTCCTCCTCCTCCTCCTCCTCCTCCCTTTCCTCCTCCTCCTCCTCCTCGCGGCAGTGGGGGGCGGCTGGGATGGGTGCGGTCTGTCTGGGGGGGCCGCCGCCTGCGTACGACAGTATCGGAGAGGCACAAGACCGCATCGGCCTCGTTTGCTGAAAAACAACGCTTTTCGGTCCTCCCAGGTGACCCACCGACTGGGACCAGCATAGCCCGAAGACTCGCACAAACCTGGCATAGTCGAGGGAAACGACCTTCACCTCCTTTTCCTCCTCCTCCTCCTCCATTCGATTCCTTCTCCTCCCTCCTCGGCCCTCGCCCTCCTCCTCCTCCTCGCCCATCTCCTACTCGTCCTCCTCTCCAGCCTCCTCCTCCACCTCCTCCTCCTCCTCCTCAACCTCAACCTCCTCGTTCTCCTCCTCAACCTGCTCCCCCTCGTCCCCCATCCCTCTTCCTGATAAATAAATCCTTCTTGTGGTACCCCGAGGCTGGTCGAAAGGGCGGGCCATGGCGTTACGCCGGGATCTTCCTCAACATCTACGATCTTGAAGCTCAGAAAGTACAACGGCTTCAAGGATGGAGGGCGGGTCGCTTTCATCATGTAGCTCTCGTTTCAGTGCCGCGCGCATTCTTCTTAACTTCTGGAAGAGTTGCACGGATGGAGGGCGGCCCGTTTTCGAAATGTGGCTCTCGCCCTAGAGCAGCGCACACTCGTCTTAAGACTTCGTGATGTCTTCATGGGTGGAAGGCGGCTCCTTTTCAAATCGTGGCTCGCGCCTCAGTGCCGCGCACATTCACCTGAAGAGTTGGCGTCCAAAGAATTCGCATGGCTAACGTCCAAGAAATGGTGTTTGGGGCACAGTGTCGGAATGTGAAGGCGCAACTAACACGTGCATTCGCGGTGTTGATGTCCCAGGAACACCGTGCTGGCACGATTCAGGATCACCAAGACGCAACAGTAACGGTCAGTCGCGACGTTGGATCCCCAGACTGGTGTTCTGGCACAGTTCTGGCTTTTCAAACTGTTGTCTTCCAACGGGGCACTTCCCTAAAGGAGAATTGGGCACCCTCGTAGAGGCCTGTGAAGAGGGAACTTGGAGAGAGGGTGTATTGCGATATCGGTGAGTCTTGGGTTTGCACTACTTTTCGTTCTCCTCCTCGTCCTCCTCCTCCCCCCGCCTCTTCCCTTTGCTCCTGCTCCTCCTGCTCCTGGTCCTCCTCCTCATCCTCCTCCTCCTCCTCCCTCCCTCCCTCCCTCCCTCCCCTCACTCCCTCCCTCATTCCCCTCCTCCTGCTTCCCTCCTCGAGAGCGGGCGGCGGATCGGGCGTTGGCGGTGGCAAATGGGGGCCCGCCGCAGTCGGCGGAATTACCGTGCGAGAACAGCACTGTCTTCGTGGCGTCAAGGCGCCTCCGAGGTAGGAAGAGGAGGGCAGCACGATCGTCCAAGAAATGCAAGCCAGCGTGGACCACGAACAGCGTGTTCTAGCATACACTGCGATGTGATATGCGCGATGCAGCCTACGCAATACAATCGATGCAACGCAATGCATCCAATTCCAATCAAGCCAGGGCAATATCCAGAATGTAGTCGATGCGATGTAAACTTAAGTCGCACCATGTAGGTTGCACCATGATAACGTGTGAAATGCTACGCTATGCGATGCCCTTCTGTACCAGGCCATGCGATGGAGTGCGATGCGATGATAAGCGAAGCTTTGCGATGCTACGCTGCGCAATGCTGTGGTCAGTTGTGCTCGCTGTGCTGTGCTGCCCTGTGCTGCGCGAGAAGACGCGTGCGAGCAGGATAGGGGAACAAAAAGTGGCATAAACATAAAAACTCGGAGGTCCGCCCGGACTTCTCGGATCGGCGCTGGACCCCCCTCCCTGGCGCGCGGAGCGCGCCAGGGGCGGCGCCGGAGGCGCCGCCGGGGGGCCCCAGCGCCGATCCGAGAAATCCGCGCGGACCTCCGAGCTTGTATGTTTCTGTCACCCTTTTTGCTCCCCTACCGGAGAGTGCGAACGTCTCCCTGCAGGAGAGCGCGCCAGGCATGGGGCCCCAGCGCCGATGCGAGACATCCGCGCGGGCCTCCGAGCCTTTTTTATGTTTCTGCCACCTTTTTGTCCCCCTGCAGGAGAGAGTGCGAACGTCGGCGAGCTTTCATTTGGAGTCCCGAAACAGTGCGGTGACAGACCGTGCGGTGACCTCGAAACCCCCAAAGACCTCACCGCACGGTCTTGGGACCCTGGAGGCCCCTGTCGCCCGAGACATCCTCGGAGAAGGACTCGAGTCCCAAAACCGTGCGGTGACCCCAAATCCCCACCGACTCACCGCACGGTGTGGTCACCACACCGTTTGGGGGCCCCCGATTTCATGCTTCTGTCACCCTCTTTGCTCCCCCTGCAGGAGAGCGTGCGACCGTCGGCGCAGCGACGGGCGGCGGCGGGCGGCGACGGGCCGACCGGAGATCACGAGCAAGGAGCCCCGAGTGCAGGCACTGCCGGGGGAAGGAGAGGGGCAGAGAGGGAGGAGGGGAGGGAGGGAGGGAGGGATAAGGAGGGAGGGAGGGAGGGAGGGAGGGAGGGAGGGAGGGAGGGAGGGAGGGAGGAGAGAGGGAGGGAGAGAAGGAGGGAGAAGGAAAAATGAATCCAGAGAGGGAGGGATAAGTGCATCCAAAGAGAGGGGGGAACATAAAGATCGCTTACGCATGTGACTGCACCTGCAAACATAGTGATATAGATGCATAGATGTATCAATGTATCGGGAGAGGTACATCGAGGACAGGAAAGCACGGGCGGCGGATAGAGGAGGGAGGAGAAGGGGACGAAACAACCTCGCACCTCTCCTCTGTGGGGTGTGCTGCTCAGAGGTCGTGCGTACTCCATCGCACGGCCATGCGAGAATAGCCTGGAGGGAGTGGGAGTGGTAAGGGAGTATGGAGGGAGTGCGAGAATAGCCAGGAGGGAGTGCGAGAATAGCCAAGAAGAGTATGGAGGGAGTGGGAGTGGGAAGGGTGAGCGCACCCCGTCGGACGGTCATGCGAAAAGAGACAGGAGGGAAGATGAGAGATGAATCTGGAGGAAGCGGGAGTGGAAGGGTGAGGCGTGAACAAAAACCAGGAGATACATGCAGAGAGGAAGAGGAGGATAAGCCATGATGGCGCGGCAGACAAGAAAGGATAAGGGATGGAGCTTATCTTCATGCCCTGGTCATCATACTCACTCATCCCTCCTTCCTTCCTCCCACGTAACTCGGTTATCCAGCTCATCCCTCCTTCCCCTCATCGATCCTCGTTCGTTCGTACTCCTCCTTCCACTCCTCGTTCCATCCTGACAATCCGAACTCCATCCCTCCATCTCCCTCCGTCCCCTGTCCTCCCTGGAAGAGCAGCTCCCTGGCCCGGACCGCGCAGCGCGCGGCGCGACTGCCCCCCCGCGCCCTCGAGGGGCACCACGAGAGACGACGCGCCACCCTGCAGTCCAACCCGTGCATCTGCTGAGCGTCTGACCTGCAGCGCTCGAGGCTGCGCAGACCCTGCCAGCGGCGCTGCGCCGCGCGACCCATGCTCGACGCCGGCGCGCCGAGGCCGCCCCGCCCGCGTGAGGAGAGTCCGTGGAGGGCGTCCGAGAGAAGACGCCGACCACGCCCCGCGGTGACCGTCGCGCCCCCAATGGGAGAGACACACCGGAGAAGGCCGCAGAGAGGCAACACGGGCTTTCGGAGGTTGGCGCGCAGCTCCTGGGTCGGCGTCGGGCCCCACCCCACGCGCACCCCTCTCCATCCCCCAGGGCGGCGCGGAGGCGCCGCGGGCCTCCAAAAGCTAACGAGTGTGTGTGTGTGTGTGTGCGCGCGCAAATGTGCGTGTGTGTGTGTGTGTGTGTGTGTGTGTGTGTGTGTGTGTGTGTGTGTGTGTGTGTGTGTGTGTGTGTGTGTGTGTGTGTGTGTGTGTGTGCGTGCGTGCGTGCGTGCGTGCGTGCGTGCGTGCGTGCGTGCGTGCGTGCGTGCGTGCGTGCGTGCGTGCGTGTGTGTGCGTGTGCATGTGTGTGTGTGTGCCGCGAGCCCTGAGCACCGCCGCTTGAAAGCCAAGGGGCTGAACAAAAATGGCACACGGGCGCCGGGGTCAGGACGGGTCGCACAGCCACGCCTGCCCTGTGGAAGACGGGGCTACCCTTAGGTCGGGCATGTCCTCCTACAGGCAGAATTTGGACGAAGAGTAAAACAGAGTCAAAAATATTCAAACATGTACAACCATACTAGAACATTCGTCCCCTGACTATGTGTTGACTCTTTTTGAACATTCCTCCTGCAGAGGGACATCCCCGACTTGCTGCTATCCAGACACGCTTCTGGGCCGTGCCCCTTCCCCTGGGCCGACGGGTGGCATTGTGGGCAGAAGGCCGCCGCGGGGGGGACCGCACGCCACCCAAAGAGGGGGGGCCCAAGAGCGGGATGTGCGACGCCAACACGTGGCATGTGGTCGGTAGCAACCCGTCGCGGGGGGGTCCGCACGTCACACGAAAGGGGGGGGGGGCCAAAAGCGGGATGTGCGACGCCACGACGTGGCATGCGGTCGGTAGCAGCGGCCAGCCCCGCCGAAGCGGACCCCCGCCGCGAGGGGCAGGGCGGATGCCAACTCCCCACAGGCAACACGTCCACGCGCAGCAGACCCCCCCCCCCAACTGGCCAAAGAGCAGAGAGGAGACCAGAAGGAGGAACAAGGAGAAGGAGGAGGGGGGGAGGAGGAGGAGGAGGAGGAGGAGGAGGAGGAGGAGGAGGAGGAGGAGGAGGAGGAGGAGGAGGAGGAGGAGACGAGCGTAGAAGAGGAGGAGGAGGAGGAGAAGGAGGAGGAGCGGGAGAAGGAGGAGGAGGAGGAGGAGGGGGAGGAGGAGGAGGAGGAGAAGGAGGAGGGAGGAAAAGGACGAGGACGAGGGAGACCGAAGACCCCCACGGCGACAAACCGCCCCCCACGCGGCCGCAGTGCGCTGCATTCTTAAGGCTGGTGTCACTTCTGGGCCCTATAGATGCTGGCCAAAGCCGGGGCTCGCAGCACCATCACAAGTGCCCCCACCAGTGCGTGCGTGTGTCGGTGTTTGTGTGCGTATGCGCGTGTGTGTGTGTGTGTATGCGTGTGTGTTTGCGTGTGTGTGTGTATATGTGTGTGTGTGTGTGTTTGTGCGCGCGTGCGTGCGTGCGTGCGTGTGCGTGTGTGTGTGTGTATGTGTGCGTGTGTGTGCGTGTGGGTGTGGGTGGGTGTTCCCATTCAGTTCTGCCGACAACGTGCAGCCCGTTACTGAAACCGCGTCGTATCGGAGGGTGTGTGTGTATGTGCACGTGTGTGCGTGTGTGTGCGCGTGTCTGTTCCCATCCGTCCACGATCGGACCGCATCATTCGTTCCACGCCTGGGTGCTTGTGGCGCGCGTGCGCCGACAGCTGCTTCGCGCCACCGCTGACATCGCGGCCCGCGCCCGGTGCTAGCGCGCCCCCACCCGCCCGCACACCACGCACCAGTGCTGCCGGACAGGCTCGGACGCCCACCGCCTCGCGGCGTTGCAGCTGGCTCGCCGGGCACGGTCGCACGGGCCCAGACATGCGAAGTCCCAGGAATGAGACACACATAGACATACTAATACCAGATGTCCTCCTTGGAGGCGCGTGTCCGATCCGAGCATGTAGTATACCCACCTTGTAGTAGATCGTTTCCCGAGCGGTGTGGCCAGAAAGCGCCCGCCACGACGCATTTCCTATCAGATTTCTCGGTGCGCGCGTCGCCCCTGGGGGGGGGGGCGGCGCACGCATAGTATTTGTATGTTGGGGTGACGCCGAAGGAAGTCCCCGCCCATTCCCCAGGGCCAGGTTTTCGCTCGGAGCAGTTGTGGCTCGGCGATCCCAGGGCCCAGCGCGGGCCCGTGGAGGCCGCACGTAAACACCAGGAACCTCCCGTCGAGGACAGAGGTGGGGGCCCGACCACGAGAGCCCTTCCACAAGGCACCCAAAACCCAGCCCACGAAACCCGCTCTGCGCTGCTGGCGCCATGGCACCCTTCCTCCTGCAGAAGGGACGTGCCCGACTCAGCCGCAGGCCTCCGGGGCTGCTCCCCGGGGCTGCTCCGCCCCAGCCGTCGGGCGTCGCAGCGGGCACCCCGGGGGGAGGCCCTCGTTGGACTGCAGCGGGGGCCCGACCGCAAGAGACCCTGCACAGGAAGCCCAACACCCTGAGACCCCAGGACGCCCATGGGCTTTTGGCGTGGGAGCGCCACGCTTTCCATCGCAAAACCATCGAGGCCTATTCTACCCTGGGCACCCTGGGGGGCAGGCAGGGTGCTCCCTGGCACGGGCCCCCTCCGTGTCCGGGGGGTTCGCCCCCCCCGGCCTCGCGCACCTTGGACGGCTCCCACCTCGTGCGGCCAGCGTGCGCCTCCTGCGTCGCCCGTCAGCCTCTCGCCAGCCTGCTGGACTTACGAGTGCCCAGTGCGTCGCTACGGCCCCCACTCCCATTGCTTCACGCTTGCCTGATATAGGCTCTGTATCAGTTGACTGGCCGTCGGTTGCTGATGATCGCTCTCTACGTCCCTGGCCCTCGCTTATGCGATTCGGCCGCAACAGCGGCACGCTTTTGCACTGGGTCAGGCGTCGCTGTCTTGGCCGCGCGCAGAAGGGGGTCGAGGGATGGGGGGGAAGGCTTCTTGGAAGAATACTGCTTCTCACAAGGAGCTGGCCTTACATCTAAAAAGAAGGCCCGCGCCTTTTCAGAAGCAGGGGTCCTTCTAAGCAGCCTTCCGCCCTCCTCCTGCCCCCCTTCTGCGCGTGGCCGATCCATCACTGCTCCCCCTTCCTCCGCTCTTGACCTGCCTCCGCATAGGAGGACGCCAACCACACACCTACACCGGTCCTGGCCAGGACCATCCAGGGCCCAGGATCCGTGCACTCTGCGCTCCATGGCTTCGGCAGGAGGGCATATATGTACACTTCTGGGTGACCCGAAAGGGGGGCCAGCTGAAAGGGGGCGGCGCAATAGGTTTCGGGCAATTGCATTGCAAATGTCTCGCGCCGGAGAACTGTATATAGCGCATTGTATTGCAAGTAATGCATTGCACGCGAAAATCCAAACATACTTTTGCGCCAGGGCATGTGTTGCACGCCCCAAGTGTATTGCACCCCCACAAATTTACTGCACCATATATATGTTGCACCACCCCCTTGTCGCTGGACCCCCTTTTGGGTTAACCCGAGGAACCCGAGGGTCCTGGGTCCAGGACCGGCCCGGCACAGGATCGGTGCAGGGGTACGGTTGGTGCCCTCCGATCTGCGCTTCGAGCAGGTTTGGCGTCTCGCCGACCTTCTTCGCAGCCTGCGGCTTGCCTCCGCCTGCCTCGAGGCCCTCCCGCTCCTCGGCGCTGGCCGTCGGCCGGGCCTCTCCGCCGCGGCGCGCCTGCGGCGAGGTTCGCAGCGAGCGAGGCGAGCCAGAACCAGCGCAAGGGGGGCCCGTGCGGGCCGAGCCGGTGGCCGGCCCGAGCGCGGCGCGCCGGCACGGCGCCAGCCGTCTCGTCTGGGCCTCGGGCCCGGGCTCGGCGGGACCTGCCAGCTCGCTGCCGGCCAGCGCGGCCGAGCTCTGCCCAGCTCTGCCGGCCTGGCAGGCCCCCCGCGTCCCCTCTTCCCGGCCCTGCTGGCCTGCTGGGCACCAGGGGCGCCGCGCCGTGCTCGGGCAGTGGGAGATGCACTGCGACGGGGTGCCACGCTCAGCTTGCAGGCTTAGCTCGGGCCGCCATCGGAACGTCTTCAGGCAGGTGCCCAGGACCACAACGACAGGCGCTTCTGCACATGAGAAGCAAGTCGTGTGACAGTGAATCGCCCTATCGTGAACAAGGTGTCTCAATGGCCAAGAAAGCGGGATTCGCAGGAAACTACTTGAGGTCGCCGACATGGTTCGATAAGACAGAAACGGAGGAACAGGAGGAGAGAAATTTAACGGGAGACGAGCTGAGCAAGAAAATTACCAATGCACAGGGCACGCGGCAGAACAAACATGAGATCGGCGCCGGAAGTGAACACCATAAATCGTGCTCCCCCTGGAAGTATGCATGGTGACGGGCGCGACTTGTATACCTCCCCCTTTGCACATCAAAAGCAAAGAACCTGATCTGCACTCTCAAAACGCACTCTCACACCATTCCTCCAGCGTCTCGCTACCAGCCTTGATCAGATGAGACGCACAGGGACATACTAATCAGAGTGAGGGGGCCGAACGGTCATTCATTGGCCCTGGGTGCGTGGCTGAAGTGAGAATCCGTGGGGAAGGTTCTGCTTGTTGTGTTGTTGTTGTTGTTGCTGCTGGTGGTGCTGCTGCTGTTGTTGCTGCTGATGTTGTTGCTGTTGCTGCTGCTGTTGTTGTTGTTGTCGTTGTTGTTGTTGTTGCTGCTGTTGTTGCTGTTGTTGTTGAACATTATTACTTCTAAAGAATAATTATTGTTGGCACCCCTGGTGCACGACCCCCTCGCCGCGCCTAGGCCGCAGCCACGTTTTCATCATTTTCGTGAGGAAGTCTCAGGCAAAACGGGTTGGTCCGGATCCGGTTGTTTTGTTACGGGCGGTTTTTCCTTGCAAAAAATAAGGCAAAGTGGACATTTCTTGTTCTAACATAACCAACTTCAATAATCCCTTGCAAAAAAAGGTAAAGTGGACATTCGCGCGCGCAAGGCGAAATCCGTCCAAAACCTTAGTGTTCGTAGCGATTTTAACATAAAAACATGAAAAAACCAATGGTTTTTCAAAAAAAGTGTCAACATTTCATCCCGCGCGCTCTTGCGGATTCGTAGGAAACCCAACACTTTTTAAACATTTCTGTCAAACGGGCTTTTGCGAGCAACTTTTTCAAACTTCTGCAACAACGGTTGCGCACCTGCCAGGGCCATCATCCCTGTCAAATAATACCATGCGGGACACATTCGTTTTTTCTTCGCGCGCGCACGCCGTCGTCGTCGGCCGCGGGGCCCTGAATAGTAGCCACGGTCGTCCGCATGCCACGAAGTGAAGTGTCCGAACGTCATAGGGCGGGAAGCTGGGTGTGGGTGGTGGCGAAGAGTCGTTTGGAAATTTGGTAGAGCTTGAACCGGCCCCCCCACAAAGTGGGGGTATTGCCCGCCTCCTATGAAAACCCTGGCACTGGTGAGAACGGAGTGTCCCCACGTGCTAGTAATTGTTGTTGTTGTTGTTGTTGTTGTTGTTGTTGTTGTTGTTGTTGTTGTTGAACATTATTACTTCTAAAGAATAATTATTGTTGGGACCCCTGGTGCACGACCCCCCTCCAAAACCTAGGCCGCAGCTACATTTTCATCATTTTTTCGCGAAAACTTCAGAAAAGTGGATTATGCCAGATCCGACTGTTTTGTTGTAATCCGTTTTCCCTTGCAAAAAACACTATAAAATGAAAATTCTTGTTCTTAGTTGATCAAATTTCCAGAATCCCTTGCAAAAAATAAGGGAAAGTGGACATTCGTGCGCGCAAGACGAAATCCTTCCAAAACCTTAGGTTTCGTAGCGATTTTAACATAAAAACATCAAAAACCCAATGGTTTTTTAAGAAAAAATTGTCAAAATGTCCTTCCGCGCGCGCTGTCCGAATCCCACAAAACCAATGGTTTTTCAACATTTATGTTACATGAGCTCGCGCGAGCTACTTTTTCTTGTTCTAACATAATCAAATTTCAATAATCCCTTGCAAAAAATAAGGTAAAGTGGACATTCGCGCGCGCAAGACGAAATCCTTCCAGAACCTTAGGTTTCGTAACGATTTCAACATAAAAACATCAAAAACCCAATGGTTTTTCAAAAAAAAATGTCCAAATTTCATCCCGCGCGCGCTGTCCGACTCCCACAAAACCAATGGTTTTTCAACATTTATGTTACATGAGCTCGCGCGAGCTACTTTTTCTTGTTCTAACATAATCAAATTTCAATACTCCCTTGCAAAAAAAAGTAAAGTGGACATTCGCGCGCGCAAGACCAACAAAAAACACGACGATCTCAGGAACTTGCCCCAAAAATGTGACCAACTCCGCTCTCTCTGTCTCTCTCTCTGTCTGCTCTCTGTCTCTCTCTCTGTCTGTCTGTGTCATGTATTGTATGTCACAATTGCAGGATGCTGGGCACACGCGCGCCCCGAATAAGTGACCAAGTTCTGTGGGTGTGTACCCCACGCCAGTGTAGTAGCCACGGTCGTCCGCACGCCACGAAGTGAAGTGTCCCAACGTCATAGGGCGGGAAGCTGGGTTTGGGTGGTCGCGAAGAGTCGTTTGGATATTTGGTAGAGCTTGAACTGCCCCCCCACGAAGTGGGGGTATTGTCTCGCGTCGCATGAAAACCCTGGCACTGGTGAGAACACTGAGCGTTCGGGTAAAATGATTGTTGTTGTTGTTGTTGTTGTTGTTGTTGTTGTTGTTGTTTGTTGTCGTCGCCCCCCCGCGACCCACCCGCGACCCACCCCACGACCCCACCCGCGATCCACCCCGCGACCCACCCCGCGACCCACCCCGCGATCAACCCCGTGACCCACCCGCGACCCAACCCGCGACCCACCCGCGACCCAACCCGCGACCCACCCGCGACCCACTCGCGACCCACCCGCGACCCACCCGCGACCCAACCGCGACCCACCCCGCGACCCGCCCCGCGACCCACCCGCGATACACCCCGCGACCCACCCCGCGACCCAACCCGCGACCCACCCGCGACCAACCCGCGACCAACCCGCGATTCAACCATCGACCCACCCCACGACCCACCCGCGACCCACCCCGCGACCCACCGCGCGACCCACCCGCGACCCACCCGCAACCCACCCGCGACCCACCCGCGACTCACCCGCGGCCGATCCACATTGGTTTGAAGAGCATTTCTGCGCCTGCGGCGGGCTCGTTGTATAATGTGTGAAACTTTGGCGCCTGCGGCGGGCGTCGCCAGTCTCGCAAACTGCCGACGTCCCCACCGCCCCCTTACTCTTATCCGCATCTTTGGGGTGCGCCTGTGTATATACATGCATATACAATATACATACAGACATATTAGGGTGAGGGGGCCGAACGGTCATTCATTGTCCCTGGGTGCGTGGCTGAAGTGAGAATCCGTGGTGAGGATTCTGCTTGTTGCGTTTCTGCTGTTGTTGCTGCTGTTGCTACTGTTGGTGTTATTCGTGTTCTTGTTGTCGTCCCCCCCGGCGACCCACCCGCGACCCACCCCACCCCCCTCTGCACGTGGCTGGCCGAGTGTGCCCGCACCACAGGTCACTCCGGCTAAAGGTCACTCTTACGTGTAGCCGAATCAAGGAGAAAGCATACCTGGATGAACAACCACAGATGCGCTGAACTAAAGTTGGCGGAACGAAACGAACTCAGCCTGATCTGCGATTTCCTCTGATAAGGCGGGGGTCCGCTAACCAAGCCAGCCAAGCAGGCAGACAACCAAACCAACCAGCCGACCAACTAGCCAGCCAACCAGCCAACGAGCCAGCCGCAGGTAGCCAAGCAACCAACCAGCCAACTCGCCAGCCAGCCAACCAACCGGCCAACCAGCATGGCAGCCAGCCATGAGACTAGCCAGCCAGCCATCCAACCAACCAGCCAGCCAGCCAGTCAGCCAACCAGCTGGCCAACCAGCTGAAAACAAGCTGGCCAACCAGCCAACCAGCCAACCGACTAGCTGGCCAACAAACCAGCCAACCGACAAGCCGGCCAACCAGCCAACCAGACAGCCAATTGGCCAACCAGCCAATAAACCAGACTTCTAGCCAGCTAACTTATCAGCGGGTCAGCAAGCCAGCCAACCAGCCAGCCAACCAGTCAGCCAACCAGCCAGCCAACCAGCCACCTAGCAGCCAACCAGCAGCCAACTAGATGGCCAACCAATGCAATCAGCCAACAAGCCTGCCAACCAGCCAGAGAGCCAGCCAATCCACTAATCGAACCGAACAATCACCCAAGCAGCCAATAAACCAGCCAGACAGCCACTCCGCCAGCCGACCAATGCAACAAGTCAACCAGCCCGGCAGCAAACCAACTGGCCGTCCAGCCAGCCAGCCAACCAGCCAACCAGCAAACCAGCCCATCAGTCAGCCAGCAAGTCAACCACCAGCCAACCAACGAAACCATCAACAAGTCGTCCAACCGGTCAGCCCGCTAACCAGCCAGCTGTCAAACACAATCAGCCCGCCAGCAAGTCAACCAACTAATGAGCAATCAAACCAGCCAGCCAGCCGACATTTCACTGGTTAGATACTGATTGGCTGCTGGTTGGCTGGCTGGATCTCTGGATGCCTTGGAAGCTGCCTGGCTGGCTGGCTGCCTGCCTGATTGGCTGGTTGGTTGGCGGGCTGGTTGGCGTGCTGGTTGTCCCGCTGGCTGGTTGTCTGGTTGGCTGCCTGGCCGGCTGGCTCGTAAATGGGCTGGGCGCTTGGCTGATAGGCTGGTTGGGTTGGCTGGCTGGTTGGCTGGCTGGCTGGCCGGCTGGAGGTCTCGCTGTCGGGCTGGCTGGCTGGCTAACTTGCTAATTGGCTGGTTGGCTGGCTGCCGCCCGTCCTCGCGGGCCGCGGAAGTCGAGCCCAACCAACCAGCGATCCACCTTGTCCAGCCAACCAGCCAGCCAGCCGGCCAGACGATCAATCAGCAAGGCATCCAGCCATCCAGCTGACTAGAAGATGACCAGAAGTCAACCATGGCTGGCTGGCTGGCTGCTTGGCTAGTCAGCCGTCCAACCAGCCAGGAATCAAGCAGAAGCAAGACAGACGCCAACAAGCCAGCTAGCCGGCCAACTGAACAGGGTGATGGCCGCATTCCCGAACAGAACCACGCATAGGCCAATCATAGCCCACTTATGGTGATGACGGGGTTATAGTTGAATCCTGGCTGGCCCTAGACGGAAATGCGGCCAAAACTATTTTAATTAAACGTTGGTTACAAGGCGATGCCAACGATAACCAACCAGATGTGAAACATGGTCACTCACAAAGTGCTAGGAACCCGTAAGCGGTGTTAGACAGACTGCTCCCGTAGCAACTCTCCACGATGCGCTGTGCGCCAAGCCTCTCATAGTGGGCCTTTTTCTGGGTCCGTGCTTCGGTGCGGAACGCCCACTTGCCGTGCCAAACGCTGCACGTCGCACGGTTGTCCGTCCGCCCGTCCATCCGTTTGTATCCTGGCTCTCCGAGCCGCGCGCTCAGATCTTCATTAAGTCTGGGACTCGTCGGCCACCGCAGGCCTTTTCTCGTCGGGGTGGTCCCGCCGAGGCCTGGGGAGGGTGTGCCGAAACACGCCCCTGGCTCAGCACGGCATGAGGGTGCAAACTCGAAGCGTACGCAAACAAGGCGAACAAGTTCCAACATAGTCAAAACATCGTCTCAGACTGTGTTTAAAATATGTTTGAACAGTTTCCTCCTGAAGAAATCATTGCACCAGCCTCGCACCCCTGCTGCAGCGAATTTACGCGTGGATTTCTACGTGGATTCCACGTGGGAAACATGAAAACGAAGTGAATTTCGCGTGGGTTCTTTTTGGTCTTCATTCCCGGCCAAAACAGATCCGCACGAAATTCACCTGGGAATCCGAAACGAGATTCTCCAGGACACTCCAGGCCCACCCCACATATCGTTTCCCGGACGACCTCCGCTCTGCGATGTTGGCGCCATGACACCTCCCTCCTGCAGAGGGGACGTGCCCGACTCAGCAGCAGGCTCCCTGGGGCTGCTCCCTGGGGCTGCTCCGCCCCGAACGCCCCGCGCCCGTGGCGCCGCCGCGGAGGGGGCGGCGCGAGGCTGCCGCGCCCCGGCCGTCGGGCGTCGCAGCGGGCACCCGGGGGGGCCCTCGTCGGACTGCCTGCCAGACTCGGGGGCGCGCAGGCCTGGACGAGCGACGAGGCCTCCCCCAGGAGGCCCCGAAGAGGGGAAAACGAGGGAAGGGTAGCAGTATGGGTGCCTTTTCCTCCTCTGAGAGTCTTGGGGGCGCGCAAGCATGGATGAGCGCTCCATGGATTGGGCGCGCGGTCGCCAGATCCGTGGATGGGGGGAGGTGCCCTCCCCAAAGTGCGGCCGGTGCCGCGCTCGGCGGCGGGGATCCGCGATTTCCCATGGAGACGGGGCCCGTCGCTAATCCACGCCCCCTTGATCCATGTTTGCGATCGCCTGACAACCCAACCCGAAGTCTTAGGTCGGGCATGTCCTCCTACATGCGGATTTGGGATGAAAACTCAAACAACAATTCTAACAATCTTCAAACATAGTCAACAGCAGCAGAAAAATCGTCCCCAGACTATTGTTATACTACTTTCGAGTATGCCTCCTGTAGAGGGACATGCCCGACTTAAGACTATCTGCCAGACCACCCCCCAATCCAACCCGAAGTCTCAGGTCGAGCACGTCCCCCTAAAGGCGGATCTTGTAGGGAAACTAAAATAATCAAAAAATATTCAGAAAACAATCGAAAATCGTCGAGAAGTCCTCCCCGGGCGATTTTTGACAAATTCTGAGTATTCCTCCTGTAGAGGGACATGCCCGACTTAACCGAAGTCTTCCGACTCACGGAATCCCCCAGACCCGGCACTTGGGCAGGGGAGGAGCGAGCTGTTTCGCGCAAGGGTGAAAAAAACAGTCCAGCGCTCCGACCATTCTTGCTTACTCCTGCTTCGCTTGGTTCTCAACCGGCACGTTGGTGTTGCTTCGAGTTTATCCCTCGTGCTACGGTGAACCTCGTACGCCCCGCAGAGAATCTCGTTTCTTTGTGTGGGATCTTTCCATATCTTGGTACCTATACCACTCACGCGTGTTTCACTTGCTTTACCCCTTCTGCACCTTCCAGACCCCAAAAAACCCGACAGGTACTTCGGACAGGTCCGCACGCTCCGCCCGAAATCATGGCGGCGGCGGTGCTTCAACGGTGCGTTTGCATTTGCAATGACTCTAATGTCCGTGGCCTTCGTGCTTCCTTGATGGAGCCCCGTGGGCGCGAGACCGCCGCTGGGCAGTCAGCCCTTTTGTGCAACAGGGTCATTGCCTGTACTTCCGATGTGTTGTGCATGCGTAGGGTTCCACGAAGTGTGACGGCCGTGTTCTCCAGTTGCATTGATGTGTGTCTAGGTTGGCTTTTCCCTGACGAGGGCAGATGGCGTCGAACGAACAAGATTGTTGAGCCTCTTTGGGCAACGTTTGTGTCATGCAGAACTCTGCTCTGGCTCGCGTCACGTAGAAGATCGCAGCACGCCTGGAAAGCAGCTCTGTTGCTATCGCCCCGTCACCGCGCGGCACTCTGGAGGGAGGACCGCCCGAGACAGTGGGGCGCTCAGGAGCTCCGGGCTGCAGTCGATGATCTGTTATCTTTGCAGTTGCTTGCCGTGCGCCTTCCCACCGTTGCTCATGTCGCCTACGGTTCCCCAGTCGACTCTTTGATGGGTCTGTATGCCTGGGTAGGCGACCCGGGTTACTACGTTGGCATCGCGCGTGCGTGCAGAAAAAAACAGCAGAACTCCACAGGGGTCGCGTGCAGGTGGCTTGAGCACATGACATTGTTGTTGCGCCGTCACGCCAGCGGTGCGGACAAGGTCCGGTACAAAATCATGCGCCGCTCTCACCCGCAGGACGTTCATTTTTTTGTGGCACGTGCTGGAGCTGCGGACCGGATCCGGTCGATGGAGCGGTGCGAGATCTTGAGCCGCAGGCCGAACGGGAATGGCACGGTAGGCCCAAATAGGAGGTCTGTCCCGTTAAGGGTCCCCTCCAGGCACCGGCCCCCCAAGACCAGCCGGGCTCCGTCCAACAAGGGCCCATTCGACCATGACATTTGTTGCAAACGAGTTCGGCATGGCCAGGTTTCGCATGTGTTTGCTCCTGCAGCGCCGCAGAGTTTTCACATACTGTATTGCGAGGCGGTCCGGCAGACCTTCACCATCTTTGGCACCAGGGGCCCAATTGACATTTACTCTCCGCGCCATTCTGCGCTGCTCCTGCAATGGAGCGGCAGCAAGAGTGGAACCATCGATTGGAAGCTATTGGAGAAGAAGTGGCACGTCGACAGTGGCCCCGTTGCCTTGGCCTCGCGCCTGCATGGGGTGACTGGCCAGGGGCGGAAAATGGTGGCCGCTCGACGCGTCAACTGGGAGCTCCGGGCCAGGGGTCTGCCGCCGTTGGAGGGCACAGTCGTCTACGCCCCTTGGCCGGCAGCTTTACCAGCCATGCGAAGCGCAATGTGCGTTGCCATCCGGTTGCGCGACATTGAGCGCCCCCCGTCTGAGCTAACATGGTTGCTTTCTCACGTCAGGATTGTCGCCCGTGCCCCGCCCAAGTTTCGGGCGCAATGGAACGCCCCTGCGGTCAGCAAGCGGCTGTGCGCCGATGATCTGTTGAACGTCGATTCCCGTTCCCTGGCGCATGCTGCCGACGGCATCGGCATGCGCCGGATCGATCGGGTATGGGACGTTACGGTAAGGTGTAGCCATGAGGACATGCTTGCATCTCTTCGCTCTCACGTTGCGCGTGCCTGCACCCGCTTGTGCCTTTCAAGTTCTGTGCACCAGCAGGCTCGTTCCGTCGCGTGCGACCGGTTGGCCACGAGCCGCTCCTTCCGCCTCGAGCAGAAGCGATGGCATCGATCGCAATCGTTGTATGACCAGTATACATCCGACATGCACGTGCGTCCGGACGAGGCCCTCGTTCCGGACGATAAGTTTAAGAAGTACATGTGGCTCTTGCCATGTATTGCTTACCAATGGTTAATCTTGTCGTTCGCAATATCCGCGCCCGCTTGGCGTCTTACATGTCTTGACTGGGCAAGTGCGAATGACTGGTGCTGGAGTGTACTTGATGAGCTCTTGACTCCGTCCGTCAAGGCCTTCGTGTGTTTCCACCGATATGCTCGTGTTGTTCCTTACATGTATGGCACCGTCAAGTCAAAGTGCTTCCGCGGCGGCGTCCGCGTATGCACCCGCGCGGGCCACTCGTGCTTGCGGAAAGTCGTGTCTTTCGCCGCATGGCCCATGCGGCGCCGGTGGCGATACATCCACCGCGCGCTGGAAACGGTGATGCGGGAATACGGTGGCGGCGACGAAGTGTGGTCACTGCGGGAGGCTACCCAAGTCATGAATGCACGTATCCAGGCCGCCCGCCCCACGTCAGTGCACCGGACTTGTGCCCGTTGCCAGAGGGCCAAGGTGGCGTCCACGGCCGTTGTTGCAGATGCGGGCCAATTTTTCGAAGCCGTCCGACCGCGCGATGCCATCTGCGCCGCGCGCACCGTCCTCTTGCGCTGCCAGCGTGCCACAGGTAAGGAGGCCGTCACGGTCCTCAAGAACCAGAGGCGCGTGGCATTCTTCGGCGGCGCTGGCGGCGTGCACGACGGTAAAAAGGTGTGCTTCAGTTTTACTGACTTGTTGCTTGCTTTCTCGGCGTGCATGTTTGTGACTTTGTGCTCTCTAGGCGACAAGGTTTTCCATCTTTCCGGGCTTCCGATCGGGGGCGTCCTTTCGAAGGTTGCCGCCAGTTTCGTGCTGGGCCTGGAGGAGAACCGTTGGTCGTTGGACGTGGCGCGGCGGAGGTCCTTGGGTTTCGCTGCCACCAACCCCGCGTGGGACAGAGAAGTGGCCAGGGGCAGGTACGTAGACGACCTCCTCTGGGTGAGCTCTGTTTACTGCTGGGCGTGCATGTGCGAGGCTGTTCATGAAATGTATTCGGTGCCGTTCGAAATTGCTCGACAAAGTCACGTTGCTGATTGGCTTGACGTTCAGCTAGACCTCGCGAGCCACGCGTGGCGCATGGCCCCCAAAGAGGTTGTGCTGCCGCCCCCGTGGGCCGCGTCCCGGGGCTACGCGCGCGGCCTGGTCCTGGGCCGGTTGCACCGTTGGTCCGAAGTCGGCCTGGTAGAAGCTGCGTGGGTGGAAGCAGCTGCGCACCTCATGCTGCGCTTCCGGTCGGCAGGCTGGCCGATGCGTGTCCTGAGGGCCGTTTGCCACCAATGCTCCCATGCTTTGTCGCGCCATCAGCGTTCATTGTTGCTGTCTGTCGTGACGAGCGTCTGGCGCTGACACCCCGCTGTCATGGGTCAGGCGCAGGGCTCGCACATGGACGTTCTTCCATACATTAGCAGTACGCACGGCGGTGTGCACGCAGGTTCGGGTTTGCATGTTGACTGGTTTTTTGATGATCCTAGGCGCATTGATGAGGTTCCTCCCCCATGCCCGTCGGCTGGTCGGCCGGAGACCTTGAGGGCTCGATCCGTGCCGCTGCTCCCCGGCGTCGCATTCCCAGGCCGAGATGGCGCCGCTGCTTGGGGCGCTCCTGCTCGCCTGCCCGGTCGCCGTGGCGGCCGGAAAGGGCGGCGGCGGCAAAGGATACGCTTCGTGGGGGAGTTCAGGGAGCTCCGGTTCTGGCTGGGGCCATGGGCGTGAATGGGGTTCAGGACAGGGCTACCAGAGTGGCCTGGCCCACAAGGTAAATGAGTTGTGCGAAGCTGTTGACAAGCTGACGAAAGACAGAAAGAAGAAGAAAAAGAAACGTGACCCTTCTAGCTCCACGTCGTCCTCTTCGAGCTCATCCGAAAAGAAAAAGAAAAAGAAGAAGGGCAAAAAGGAGAAGAGCGGCAAGAAGGAGCGGAAGGTGCCGAAGTCCGGAGTAGACGAGGCGGAACGTAAGGAGCTTGCAGAATTCCGGCGCCAGGCAGAGGTTCAGCGCATCCGGGAGGAAGTGCTGGCGAGCGCGGCCTTCGTGCCCCCCACCGGCGGCGGTGGCTCTCAAGGAGGAGCGCGCCGTCAGGCCGGGGCTCCTCTCTCGCCCAAGACGCTGCGGGCCGTGCACGCGGAGACGCGCCTCATGGAGCCCGGGGGCACCATCAAGCAGCTGGTGTCGAAGGGTGCCGATACGTGGACCGCGGTGCAGGAGGAGTTGCAGGCGCAGGCCCTCCCGGACGTCAAGAAGCTCCTTGGCCAGATTCATCCAGGAGGTGCCGACGCCGTGCCCCGGACGCGGCACGAGGCAGTCAAGGCTCTCATGGCAGCCCTCCAAGGCGACGCCTGAGACGACGAGCACGCAGTGGTAGTTGACTGATCCACTCCATGCGGACCTTCCCACTCTGGCAGGGCTGCCCAGTCCAACGGTACGCTCGCCCAGGTGCGGCCCACTACCGTCATCATAGTCGTTGTTGCCCTCTTCGTGGGTGCACTCGCTGGCATGTTCATGGCTGGGGCCGCGGAGCCACAGTGGCTGCCTCGGCCATTCGCCCGGGCGTGGAGGTACGTGTCTGCCCTCAAGGTGGTAGCCTGGGACGAGCAGTACTTCTCCGGCTGGCTGGAGCATGTGAGTGGCGTGCCGATCCTTTCTGCCTCTTCTGGCGCTCTGTTTGTTCTCTTTGGCTATGCCCGGAGGGAGGCGCCCGAGTCCGGGGACGCGGGGAATTCACACCAGGGTGCTGGGCGGCCTGGCTGGCGAGCCCGAAGGGGGCTCTCTTACTTACCTCGGGGGCCCCTGGGTGACGCGTGGGACCTCTACAGTACCTCGGGGCACCCGGGCGACGCTCGTCGATTGAATTCGTAAGCTCGCGCTGGTGACCCAAGCCCCGCTCAGTGCACGCGTGCTCCGACGGGGGGCTTGGCGAGTTGCGCGGCCATCGTATTCAGAGGTGTCGGCGCGCCGAGGCGCCTGCAATCGGCGGGGGGTCCCAGGGCATTGGACCGCCGCCGATCTTTGTCCCTTCTTCCTCGCTCTTCCCTCCCTTCCATTCCTTCGTCCTCCCCCCCCCCCTCCCGCCGAGAGCGTCCAAAGCACTCCTAGGTATTCCAGTGGTGCTCGTTCTCTTGCTTCCAGCGCGTGTCTTCACACGGCACCCGCGCAGTCTTTGGCTTACACTGTGTTGCATCGTTCTGCACGCGTAATCTCCGCACGGCACGCGTATAACCCTCTTGTGCAATGTAGCGTAGCAGCAGTGCACAGGATGTCAGCATGTTTTCTGTCAATGCTCACGGGAATAAGGATGGTCAGCTTCACAGTTTTAACTCGGAATCCTCCGGCTCCACGGGGGGAGCTGGTCTGGAAGGTAGTTCGGGGCTGCCAGGTGCACGGATCCAGGAGACGTAGAGCGTGCTCCGGGAAGGGCTTCTCCGGAGCACGTTATTCAGGGTCGCCTGGCAGCCTTCATAGGCCCAAGTGGCTGCCCATCGCGGGCGGCACGGGGTGCTAGCAGCATACCGGGTGCTCACGGAATCCCCCAGACCCGGCACTTGGGCAGGGGAGGAGCGAGCTGTTTCGCGCAAGGGTGAAAAAAACAGTCCAGCGCTCCGACCATTCTTGCTTACTCCCATCCGTACTTAAAGACCCCATCCCAGACAGAATTTCGAGCACCCAGGAAAGTATCGAAGCAGTGTGGAACGAGTATTCTTTCTTGGTGCTCAATTTTTCCCCTGGCGATCAAGGGTAAAGTAGGTTGGAACATCAGAGCCGGAGTCCGACATTTCGGGTTGGAGGGAATACGGGATCCATCTGCATTTCTTCGACATGTTCTGGATGGTCCCCCCACTGGGAATGGAGGACAACTTGGGACCTTCGGGTGGGGCTGGGGTGGTCTGGTGGGTAGTCATCGTTGCCCTGCCCGCCTCCCTCTTTCCTATCCTCCTTCCCTGTGCCCTCTCCACCGACGGCGGCGAAGCGGACGGCGCTGGAGCCGACGCCAACGACGCCAACGAGGCCGACGGAGCCAACGCCAACACGACGTCGAACCCGCCGCCGACGACGAAGACAAAGTCGACGACAGCGACGGAGGGAACTCGGAGGAGGGCGAGTTGAGACAACGACGGCTCGACATCGGAGCCTGGACCCCCCCCCCCCGGGGTCCAGACGCACTGGTTCTCCGATCCGCGTCCAGCCGTGGCGACGAGGGAGCCCCCGAATGGCCAACTACGGTGGGAGCAGTGGGACCGATCGTGGATCTGCCACGGACATCACCGCCGCCGTCATCACGTAGGGAATCCTCCAAGGCCTGCAGCCTCCTGGGCACATCCCCTAACGAACGCACGCACTGTTCCCGTCGATCAGAAGAAGTGGATAGAAACATGAAACAGGTAGGCGTTGAAAGTAGATTGGGCTTCCGCCCGCCCCCCAAAGAGGAAGGCAAAGAAACACGCACTCGACGATGGAAGTAGGAAGGCGCCTAAAGACAAACATGCATATGTAAAACCAGAAATACATACCCCCTATCCCAAGCTATCCCAGGCTTTGGGATATGTCAACCACTATGCCAGGCTCCGGGAGGTTTTCGAATGGACCTGCAAATTGGGGCCCAACCCTGGGATATACGATGGGGGGGAGGTCATCCTCGATTGAGGTGCGTCCGAATAGCCCCCGCGGGGTGTGTCTCAGGGTTCCCCTCCTTCTCTGAGCGGCTCCATTTTTCGTCGAAAAGTCGGGGGCTGAGGGAGAACAAAATCACCTGCGAGTGAAGACGACGACGGCCGCGCCTCGGCGCAGCTGCAACCCGCCCCAATACTTTAGACGCCCGACATGGGTACGGAAGAAATGGGCACGGTGTCCAACCACGAGTGTTGCCCAAAACTCGCAGTGACCGCGGTTGGGCAGGCGGCCTTCTGTTTCAGTCGAGCAACAACCGCAGCGACGCCGACAACGAACCCATTTTTTGAGCAGGGACCGACCCGTCCCGGCATTCCTAGAGGCCTACCACGAAATCTTATGAGAACCCAACGATGTTCTAATGACAATCTTAGAACATAAATCCGATGTGTTGACGCAAGACAGCCCAGGCCAGAAATGTTCCTAGAACACTTCGTGCGGACTACAAAAAGTTCTTAGCACATCTTTTGGTAGGCCTATGGGCGAGCCTAGACGCTTCGCCACTGCTTGATTTTCCGATTGAGCAACGGCTGCTGTTGGGCATTGTACCCGTTGCTTCCGCACCCGCTCCGGCCCCCGGACATGCGGACCCTCGGTGCTGAAGTCCGGCAGCGCCTCGAGGAGGCCCTCGCCGTCCAGCTCGCCCTCGCCTGCGGACCGCCCCGGCCGGCGACCCCCGTCTCTCAGCTGCGCGCACCAAAGGAGGAGGAGGAGGAGGAGGAGGAGGAGGAGGAGGAGGATTTTTCCTCTGCAGGCCGAGGAGGCGGAACCTGTCAGCAACGTTTAATCTGAGACACCTTCAATTCCCGCGGTCGTAGGCCGCGGCCCTGCCATGCCGTCGCCAGCCCCAGCAGGAGACACGCTGACCGCTGGGCACTGTCGCCCACGGGAAAAAGCGCCACACGAGCATGTGGGCGCAGACGGCCGCCACGCCGCGCATCAACGCCCAGCCGCTTCGAGTCCCCTGCCAGCTGCCACCAGCAACCTACGCCCACAGTTGGGCCACGCGCGCTTCCAGCCAACGGTTCGGCACCAGGACGTTGCCGCGAGAGCCGCGGGGGAAGCAAGCAGGATCCACTCCGCATTTCGGAGCCGAAAGCATATGCATGGAGGCAGAAACGAGCTCACCGTTGAGCTGTGAGCGCTATGCCTCGTACTGCCCTGGCAGGCAGCGCGAGAAAACATAAGAGCCAGCCGTGGCTGCAGCCCCGCGTGCCTGCAAGGGGAGAGCGCACGCCAGGGGCAGCACCTTAGACTCGATCTGGCCCGAACAGCAGCGTTTGGCTTGAGACAGAAGAGCCAGCAGAGGCGGCAACAGTTTACGACGCATCGCCGATGCATCGGCGACGTCGGCGATGCATCGGCGCCGTCGGCGTGGAGAACATCGGGCTCCACATCGAGCCGCATCGGCGATGCATCGGCGATGCGGCGCGATCCTCCGACCCCATCTACTCGGACCCCATCAGGGAGGCCTAGAAACCCTGAGACCCCAGGACGTCCATTGCTTTGGTGTGGGAACGCTACGCTTTCCATCGCAGACCATCAAAAAAACTTAGAAACTCAGGGCACCCTGTAGGCAAGCAGGGTGCTTCTTGGCATGGGCTTCCACTGTAAGAAAATGGGGGAAGGCCTCTTAGAAGGAGGCTGCTTCTTTGACGACGCCGGCCACACAGTTGCCGAGCAGGCCCGCGCCGTCCAAGAAGCAGCCTCCTTCTAAGAAGCCTCCGCCCCTCCCTTTACCCCCCTCTGCGCGTGGCCGCCCTTCGCGGGAGGGTCGTCGGGGTCGCCCTTGTCGCCGTGGGCCACGTCGTGGTCGCCATCGTCGTCGTCGTCCACGGTCGCCGTCGTCGTGGGGGAAGGGGAGCAAGGAGAAGGACTGACGAGGGAGCAGGAGGGACGTCGAAAGAGAGGAGGATGAGGATGATAATGAAGAGGAGTGGGAGAAGGAGAGGGAGAGGAGGAGGAGGAGGAGGAGGACGAGGATGAGGAGAAGAAGCAGGAGGAGAATGAGGCGGAGGAGGAAGAGATCATCAGAAGGTCAAGGTGGCGATGCAAAGTTGCAGGAGGTCGCTGGAAAGGAAGCCGAAGGGAGGACTGGGGCGAGAAAAGGAGGCCAGAGGAGACCGAAGGTCCAGAACGTCAGGGGGAGGTACCCGCGTCTCGCCGCCGCTTCTATGGAGAGAGGGCGGGGTACGCAGAGGGCACGCGACTCGGCCGGCTGGTCCTGGAGGGAGGACCTGCACGGGGGTTGAAGAGATGGGCCCTAACGGGGCCCTTTAAGGCCCCTGCTGGCTCCACAAGGGGCCCAAAGGGCCCCTTTAGGACCCCTTTCTTAACCCCCCATGTCAGTCAGCCCCCACTACCACGCACACGAAGGACGCAGAGGGCCCGAGTGCAGAAAGCCCCAGGTGTATATCCTACCGGAACGACCTCAGCAACGCCCCCCTCCCCCCCGGGAGAAACCCGACGGTACCGACCCCGCTACTCCCCGGACCTCTCCTGGGGTGCGTTCTGACAAGAATTTCGAGGCGAATCCAGCGGTGGCGACGACGGAGGCCCAGGAGGCCCAAACAGGGGAAAGCGAGGGGAGGGTAGAGGTTATGGGTACCTTTTCCTCCTTTGACAAAAATACCACTTTCAACGACCGACGGGCACGCCTGAAGCATGAACAGCCCTGACGAGCTCTCCGTCTGTGCCGGCCAGTTGGCGATGCGGCGCCAGATGCCGAGGTGCGGTGCGGTCGCCCGAGCACGCGGGACGACACGCAACCGCGCTGCAACGACTTACGATGATGAGGCCGACGAGAAGTTACCCCGACGGTAGGGCCCCGCATGAGGATTTTCCAAACTAACGTGGAAGCACCGCCGTTTGCGAGATGAACGCCCGCCAGTGAAGCTGCCGCGAAGACCCACCCTGGACCCCGTATCTCGATGTTGGCCGACGACCGCGACGGAAAGGAGCGCGAAGTGTTGCGAAATAGACGCCCAATTTTGCAGGGCTCTGCTGCTTGCCCGTCAACGTTGAAATATGGGGCGAGGGGGGGCGCGCGTTGACGTATTGTTATCTAGATTTGAGCACGCGTTTATTTCGCAACCCACTGTAGTCCTCATCGTCGTCCTTGTGACTACGGAGACTCGCTTCCTGTCTGGTGTCTGCTGGTCCCTGGCGGCGCGTACAGCTGGGTTGAGGACGGCGGTTCAGAATGCAAAGATCGCTCGACAAAGGAACGAGGCTCCCGCTCAAGACTCTGTCAAACGTTCAGACTCCCAGATGCCATTAAAAATGTAATTCTACAGGCGATCCCCATGGACATCTCGGATTCATGACATGAAGCGGGGGGGCCGTAGGGAGGGCATCCCGCTCGAGACTTCCTCGCGACTGACTTATTCCAATCTGCGCAAGAGGAGAGCTCCCGCTCGAGACTTCCTCGGGATTCAAGCTCCCAGAATCCCGATGGCCGCCTCGCATTGTCAACGTGAGGTGGGGGCCCTAACAGGGAGGGGCTCCCGCTCGAGACTTCCTCGCGAAGAACTCATAAACAAGTGACCGCCCGAGACGTCCTCGAGATTCAGGGCCCCAGGTGCCACCAAACGTCTTATTGGGTATTCCGATGGCCGCCGCGGATTACCAACATGAGGTGAGGACCCCCAGAGGGAGGGGCTACCGCTCGAGACGACCTCGCGATTCACTCCCAAACAAGTGAGTGCCCGAGACATCCTCTCAATTAGCTCAGGAAAGAAGCTCCCGCTCGAGACTTTCCCCGGGGTGTAACAAACCTATGTTTTTAGATTGTCATCCGATGGCCGCCTCGGACTACCAATGTAAGGAGGTGGGGACCCCAGATGAAGGGGCTCCCGCTTAAGACTTCTTCGCGATTCACTCGCAGACGCGTGAGCGCCCGAGACAACATCTCAGTTTGTTCAGGAACGAGGCTCTCACTTGAGATTTCCTCCGGGTTCAGGCTCCCGGGTGCCACCACCAAACTTCTGTGTTCACAGGGTATTATGATGGCCGCCTCGGCTTAACAATGTCAGGCGGGGGCTCCGTATGGAGAGGGCTCCCGCTCGAGACGTCCTCGCGATTCACTCGCAGACGAGTGCGTGCCCGAGACATCCTCTCAGTTCGCTCAGGAGCGAAGCTCCCGCTCGAGACTTCTCGGGATCCAAGCGGCAAGGTGTCACCAAACCCATGCGATTGCATGGTATTCCGACGGCCGCTTTGGACCAACAGCACGACTGGAGGGCCCCATAGGGAAGGGGCCCCCGCTCGAGACATCCGCGCAATTCACTCACAGACGAGGCTCGCGCTCGAGACCTCCTCGGGATTCCGACTCCCAGGTGTCACCAAACTTGTATGTTGAAAGGGTATTCCGATTGCCGCCTCGAACTACCAACATGACCGGCAGGCCCCATAGGGGAGGGGCTCCCGCTCAATACTTCCTCGCAATTCACTCGCGAACGAGGCTCCCGCTCGAGACGTTCCTCGAGATTCAGGCTCCCAGGTGTGACCAAACCTGATTTTTACATTGTTCTCCGATGGCCGCCTCGGACTACCAGCATGATCTGCGGGCCCCACAACGGAGGTGCTCCCGCTCGAGACTTCCGCGCAATTCACTCACAGACGAGGCTCCCGCTCGAGAAGTCCTCCGTAGTAGCGCATGAGTGCGTGCGTGTGTGAATGATTCAATGAGTGCGTGTGCGATGATGACAATTACGATGATAAAGAGAGCCGGTGAGGGTGATGATGGTGTTCCTGCGCGGGGATGTCCAGAGAAAACAGGAGCCACACTCAGGATGTGGGGAATGATGATACTTCAGCGCGATGGCTGCCAGGCTCGACATTCACAACGCTGCGCGGCTCCCAACCCCAAGAGCACACGGCAATCAACAGCGAATGTGGAGGCGGCGTGCATGCGCTCTCGCGAACAGCTGCCAGCCAGCCCTACTGGTCGGCGCGGAGAAGGCCCCGCTCAACCGCCTCCCGCCGACCCGCTTGCCAAGACTGCCTTGAACTTCTCGTAGTACGCCACGCATACGTCGTCCTGCGAGTAGACGTGGGCCCACTCGAGGTACTCCTCGGCCACAGATTCCCACATGAGCCTGCTGTTGGCGCCGGGGTGCATGTCAGCCCCCGTGGCGCCACGGGGCTGCGGCCTCCAGGGCAGGCCGCACGCCTCCTCCGTCGGCGGCGGCGCCGCCCCGGGCACCTGCGGCGTGCGAGGCAGGCTGGCTGACTCTGGCAGTGGCGGCTGCACAGGCGCCATCTGCCTGTGGGGCGCCATCGGCAGCAGCTGGTGCTGCCATGGTTCCTGCTCCCGCTGCTGCACGGGCGCCGCCGCCGGCGTGGGGCCCGAGGGCGCCGACGGCGGTGGAGGCCCTGCCCGCTGCAGCAGCAGCGGAGCGTCCACCGGAGGCGGACCCGGACCAGGCGGCGGGGGCGGCATGATGCACGACCCTGGCGCTGGGGCAGAAGAAGACGAAGAAGAAGTAGAAGAAGAAGAAACGCCATCAGCGAAAACTGCTGGCGCTCCGCGTGGACTTCTTGGATCCGCGCTAGGCCCTCCTCCCTGGAGCGCGGAGCGCGCCGGGGACGGCGCCGGAGGCGCTGGCGGGGGGGGCCCGGCTCGGATCCAAGAGATCCGCGGGGAACGCCAAAAGCTTGTGTTTGTGCCATATTTTCTTC